GGACTTCAGTATAAACTCTTTTCTACATTCTGAGTAACTTTCATGACAATTTGTTGAATGTTTTTTAAAACCCCGGAATCAAGAAGAAATTCGTATCTTTTTTTATTCCTCTAAAATTGCGTAACGTCCTTTCTCCTCATCTAATTTTAACAAACTTTGCATTGTTTATTTTGTTATTTTTAGCCACATGCAATGAAACACCCTCTTTGAATATTATCAGCCTGTTTAGTGTCAATGCTCTGGGTCAGGTGTAAGGTTAGGTTTAGGGAAAGGGTTACACAAAGCTGACAAAAACAAAAGCACTTCCTGTTTTACCAGCGTGCAACGCTGCACATTATCTGCAATACAAACAAAACTTTAAAACTGCCAGGAGGTAGGAGGGACAATAATGTCCATTTAACGGGCTGATAACGTCCGAAGCCGCTGAATGAAGTGAGTTTTAATTCAACTGGGGAACTTTTTTTTGGTAACATTGCTTGTTTGTAGCGGTTCCAGAGGATTAATTCCCCAACCTCATTTTCTAAACGATAAATTAATAAACCCCACGCAAAAATAAGGAACACTCAGCTCAAGGTAGTAATGTTTTTAAAAATCTTGCCTCAAACTGTATTGAAAACAAGAGTACCGTATACGGAACAACACAACAACATATAGCAATGGCCTGAACAAGCAAAGACGCTTGACCTTGATTTGTGATCTTGACCTTAGAGCTGGACGATGAAAAAAATTATGCAACACGCTGTTTAATGGTGGTACAAATGTTACTCAAGTTTCTTAAAATTATCTTGAGCAGATCAGAAATTAAGCCCAAACAATTAAAGTGTGGGGATGGTGCCTACCTGTGGGCCTTCTCTGTCTGTGCACCCCACGTCATCAATCCTGATTGATTTCTCCTTCTGTTCTCAGCTGTTTGTGAGCACTTCCTGTCTTGTCTGTGTATTTAAGCCTGTCAGTGAGTCTTGTCCTTTGTCTTGTCGTCGTTGAGTATTGTCCTGCCAGTCTGATCTGTTCCTCGTTCCCTGTTTTTGTAAGTTGCTGCCACGTCAGCCTTTTTGATTTATTATTAAAGAGTATTTAATTCTGTATCTTTGAGTCCTGACTCTTTCCCTGCTCAACTGGGTTCACTCCTGCCCTGACCTGTCTCAAACCCTGACATAAAGACCTTGTATAAAATTTGACCTTGATTTATGACCTTGGCACCGGATGATTAAAAGTTTACGTGACACGCCATGTAGTCGTGGTACAAATTCACATCCAATTTTAGTAAGTTATTTTGAGCACATCCGAAGTTATGAATGGAACAAGCAAAGACCTTGTTTTATCTTTGACCTTGGAGTTGTGATGATGAAAAGTGGACACAACACTAAATCTGGTGATAGATGGACAATATAGTAATAAGACAATAATTCAACATGCATATTTACAGAGTCTGGGTCAAGCCCAGGGGCCCATCAAATTAAATTGTATATTAAATTAACTTTATAACGATATTCACCGGATGTCTGGCCCCTGAGCTGTTTAGCTGAATAGTCCAGCTGGTCTAAGTTTTGCCACTTCCTGTTTTAAAAGCTAAAAATGAAAGTTGGAACAGGGTTTGAAACGAAGTGTAGATTTTATCTTTTTTTATGGAAGTATTTTGACACAAAGGGAATAAAAAATATAATGAAGAAAGTCAGACAGAATCCTAAATTCATGGCTGTGACACGATGTTCTGAAGCTGAGCCTGTTACTGCAGAGAGAAATGAATTACCGGTATTTAAAAACACATTTTGCTTGGTTTGTTCCGGTAGTTACAAAGACAACTTTTACTCTTTTAAAACTCTCTCTGTGCCACACAACAGTTTGTTTTCTTATTACAGAGATAATTTCACGTCTCAGATATGTTTCTTTCTATTCCTCTATGTGTTTATTCTTTTTTTTTTTACAATTACAATGTGCATAGTGGTTTTGTTCTGCAGATAAAACAAATTTCCTCTTAGGAGTTAACTTTTTTCACTCTTTGGCTGCAGTCACATTAAAATGTTGCTTAAATCAAATATTGTCATCCAGATAATTTAAGTATAACGTCAGCTAAAAGTGAAAGTGGTAAAGACAGAAGTACTGAATCTACGTTACTGTTTTTAGGTATAATGCTCAATGTAAGGTTTAACATGATTGTTGCAGTTGTATGAAGTGAAGCTAATTTTAAATAAGTATTTGTCACATATTGAGTTATTTAACTAAATTCTGCACTGAAAACAATTGTCTCATGTTTTATTTGTATTTTAATACTTTACATTGTGTCTTGAGTGTTAGTTTGTAATTTAAATGCAGTTTTATGGTGCTGTGATGCCAAAAAAAAAGAAAAATGTTTTTTTTTATTTTGATTTTCTTGCCTTTGTAATATCATTTTCATAATAAAGTTTTTAAGAGTATTTTTCTGCAGATGATTCTCTGGAAGCTTCTGCTTCAGAGTAAAGTGATGATTTCTCTAATGAGTGATGAGAAGTGGACCACAGCCTTTCACTAACAAAGATCAGTGTTCTTAGTTTAAGATAAAGAGAATGGCTGCCAGTTTAAAAGAAACGTGCTAAATGAAGCAGAAAGGACATCCTGTCCTGCAGCACAGCAGAAACTCTCAGATCAGCTGGAAGGAGCGAAACCGCCTGGTAGTGACGTCATGCAGGGAGCTCACCTGTCCCGTGCTTCTTCCCGGGGGACATGCCTGGAAAACGGACAGCTCCTGTCCTCTGTCTCTGGGACCTGTCCCGTGCAGTGAAGGCGTCGATGTGCGCGTGCAGGTTGTAGAAGCTGCAGCTCCCCCTCTGAGCTGATCCGGTGTGATGGCGCAGGACTGTTACATAAACCCCGCTGCGACATGACGTGAGTTTTCTGCCGGAGCCGCTTTGCGCGTTCATGCACATGCACGTTAGAATAAGATCTGAGCTGTGAAAAGACTCAGAAAGCTGAAAGAAAACGTCAGATGTCTGGATGAAAAGTTGCAGCATCACCAGCAGCTGTTGCGTAAGCTTTCACTGCCTGTTAACTCTTTATAACACGGGCTCGTCAACACAAGCGCCGGACTCAGATTATTGTGTCTGTTTTTTTTTTTAACAAAAAAATAATAATACTATATTACATCTGCTTGTTTGTTTGTTTTGTCCCCTGGAGCAAAAAGGGGAACTGGAAATATCTTCTGTTTTATGAAAAATAAATTGGGCCATGTCAGAATCCAATGGCTGCTGCCGCACATGTCTGTACCTCTTGTGAGCAACTTGAAAAATAAGAGGCTTTGACATCCATTTTAGTTTGTAGCTGCATGTAAAGGATCCTATCAAAAATTGGGCTAGCACGTGATTATCATATGCTTATCATAGCACAGAAACAACACTAGTAAAAGTTACTAATGATATTCTCATGGCCTCAAACAATGGACAGGTGTCTGTCTAGACTGGTCCTGTTAGACTTCAGTGCTGCATTTGATACAGATGATCACATTATTCTACTAACGAGACTTGAATATGATATTGAGATTACAGGAACAGCTTTAAAATGGTTTAAATCATATTTATTTGATAGATTCCAGTTTGTAAATGCGAATAATGAATCGTCTTCATACACCAAAGTTAGTCATGGAGTTCCCCAGGGTTCAGTGCTTAGACCACTACTTTTTACTTTATATATGCTTCCATTAGGTAAAGTTATTAAACAGCATGGGAAAATTTTTAATTGTTATGTTGATGGTACACAGTTATATTTGTCCATGAAACACTATCTGAGAGTTCACACAAAATGTATTTGTGACACTTGTTTTTTTTCCCCCATTCTAGCAGTTTGTTGTTTTCCCCATCCTGATGTGTCCTTCTGATGTCTGTCTTCATTTATCCTGAGCAAAGAAACGTTTGCTCAGTTACAATTTTTGTTAAAAACAGAGTTCCAGTAACTACAGAAGATAAAACAATGGTTTTCTCACAAGACTCAAGCTTCAGCTTATAGAGACCTGGTGACATGATGCATCTTTGGGTCTGGTTATGCCATTTTAGCTGATGCAACTTGATAAATCATTTCCTGGCACGCAGTGATAATAAATGATGATCTGGTCACATTAAATAACTTCTTTCAACCAAAATCCAAAGTAAATTATTTATCAAATAGTTAAACTTTGTCAAAAGTTATGGGCGTATAAAAGCCAAAATAATTCCTGCTCAAATAATTAATTTTGCCTCATACAAGAGAAATAATCCTTGATGAAATTATAATTGTCTAGACCGTTCTTTATTGTATTACTACCTTTCAAACAAGCGTTCTCCTAATTATTGTCCTTTATTATTTGTGTTGTTCAGATTGTTTATTGTTGTTGATTATTTTTAGTTTGATTAATTAATTTAGTAACAAAACTTCAAAGACAAATTTGCTCTTCTCCTTTGGATGAATATTCATAGAATTCCCTGTAATTAACCGATTATAATTCAGTGACGGAGTTCTGATTGTTAAAGGGTGAAAATGTTCATTAAGTTGTTGATGGTCGGTAAACTGACTGGCTGGTGCTTCTTTAATGAGTGCAAAACAATCAAAGTGTAGTAAAGTGAGGAGCATTGTCCCCCTTCCTGCATCCACTCATATATGCTACAACATCATGTATTGACTAATTTAGACATCCTTGTACACTTAAGGATAATATATATATGAGCCATAGGCTATGCATTTTTAATATTGTGTGGATTGATGAAAATCAACATTAAATTCATGTTTTTGCACATATTTTATAAAAATAATTTAATTTGTATATTGTATACTTCATTAAGTTTTTCTTCTATTCATTAAGAGTCCCACCTTAATATGACATTGATGCTCATGATAAGTGAATATTTAAGCACAACTGTTTGTACCAAAGTGTATTTTCAGACAGTTTTATGTTTAGCCCCTTTAACCTGACAGCTCACAGCTAAACGCCCATATGGACTCCTGTCTCTGCAGATAATCTCTGCTGGAGGATTAAAGCCTGTCGTGATACAGGAGGAGGTGGACACTACGCACTTACACATGTCAGGTACTGTAGATTGTTTTTATTAATTAGACAGAAGTATAACAAGATGTTGAATTCTTTAAATTAAGCTGTGTTTTATACAAAAACACCTTTTGAGCTGTGCTTCATTTCAGGAAGCTGCATGTGTTTAAATTGACTCCAGTTTCTATGAAGTCGTCTGCAGAATGAGCTGCATGCATCGTTTTATTACTACTGTGCCGCAATTACATAAAAACTTACCTCAACTTTGTAATATTAACAATTATAGTGTAAAAATACCTTTAGCTAGACTCTTAAGCTGATTATTTGAAGACCCACATGTGCACTTAGAATTAAATAAGTTATGGTTGTAATGTCTACATCCTGTTGCTGTGTATTTTTAACTGATAAAAGCAGTATGTTAGCATAAAATAAACAATCTTAAATGGATATTCCAACCATTTTGAAGTGTGGTTTTGTGGAACGTTATGAACAATTAATATCTTACCTGTTGAAGAAAGTTCTTTGATCATCCTCAGTTTGGAGAATTAGCTTTGTGTCCCAATGAGCGGACAAGCTAAAGGCTAATTCAAACAAAGCTTAGACCAAAGTTGATCTCTGCTGCTTTAAGACAGTTCTGATCGCAAAATCTCGTAGCATTTCATGCTAACGCCACTTCATAGACCTCTGCACCATCTAATGTTGCAATAGACGGTGTGGAGGAAACTTACTAAATGTGTTGTTATCAGTAAACTTCAGTGAAATGATCAGGAGTTTCTGGGTGCTTTTCAAATGGTTTATTTGAGCTTTACCATTCAGGGAGTTAGAAACACACAGACCAGCTTAGTATTCTGTGTGTGTAGCTCCAGGAGTATTTCTTCTTGGGTGTACTTTTGGAGGCATGGGTGTGGCGATCAGACCAAACATTCTTGCATAACAAGAAATAGCTGGAAACATAGCCGTACAGAAACTGGTTGTTTCACCAAGACTCAGTATTTTCTCAGATAAAGGATAAAAAATATATATCTTTGAATAGTCATAAAGTTACACAGGTTTCATCCCAAGAATTATTAAGATTATTAAAGATTATTAAAGATTATGCTTTAGGGATACATGTGCTGGAGCGGAGAGTACGAATGTTGCTACAGTTGTTGAGTAACAAAAGGAGGTGGGATTGGGTTTTATCAGTTCATAACAAGGTATTGATTACTTACAATCTGGAGGAAATGAATGTTTTCACTATTTTCTGACAGGATTTAAAAAAAGCATTGCACTCAAACAACTGATTGGGGAAAAACAGCAGAAACAACATGAGTGAAGATGAACCAGAACTGAACTGTTGGGAAAATTTCAACTCTGTTTATGATGCAAACAATAAAATTCCAGTTTCTGACCCATATGATGACAAAACACTCCTTAACACAAGGTTTTTGTTGGTTTTTCTGTAGAGTATCTACAGGCGCTCTGCAATGCCTTCTTCTGGGAGTTCTGGTAACTGGACTTTACCTGAGTTCTTGGGGCAGAAGAGGCTGTTGGGACTCGGAGCTTTGCTGACGTGGCTCATCCTCTTCCACCTCCTGGTGAACGTCTGGCTGCTCTGCATCTTCACCAGCCTTTTGGTGGTTCTTGGAGGTTGGCTTGGGTCACGGGCAGCACTGGATGCTAACAGCTTCCTACACTTGGAACACTTTCTGCCCCTTGGTAAGGTCTGTCCACCTCAGGATACACTCGAGCACGAGCGGAGGCTGAACCACGAGATTCACAGCGCAGTCCACAAAGCGGTGCGGGACTTTGTGTCCTCATGGTATAGGACTCTGCTGCCTGAGGTGGAGGGAGAGTTTGAGCGTGCTGTGTGTAATTCAATGCTGGAGTCAGTGATGGAGCTGAAGGAGCGAGCGCAGCGAGTGGACAGGAAAGCATTGGTTGAACAGCTGCTGGAGCTGTACGGCTGCCACCTGCAGAGCTACATGACGGTACGGCAGATCCAGTCAGCACAGAAGGAGAACATTACCCTGTGGCAGCTCTACAGTGAAGTAGACTCCCCTCATCCAGCAGTGAGCAATGCAACTGCTGAACTCAACTACTCCAGAGCTCTAGTGAACCTTGTGCTTCATGTCCTCGTCCCGTATCCTCAGATGGAAACCAAGACTGGAGGCTACATGGTTACAGAGCTAATCACCTGCAACGTGCTGCTGCCGCTCATAAACAGGATATCTGACCCTGACTGGCTCAACCAGACCATCGTGGACATTTTCACCAAATCTAGGGAACCGCAGGAATTTGATGTGGGTACAATATACAGTGGTCAGATCCAGCACGAGACCTGGACCACCTGCGAGTCACTGTCTGCTTACAATCAGGCAACTTTTAGCAACACAAGCTCCTCCGAGGCTGAGGACCTTCAGAGTCAGAGCACAGTTTCTGGAACAGACTCGTCTCGAAGCAGCATGGATAGCCTGTCATGTGCAGGGAAAACACCCAGCTGCCACACAGGCCTGAACACACCCAACAGAGTGAACTGCTGTACGCTCACATCTGGCCACTACCCACAGTCATCAGGGTCCAAAGTGGTTTCCATGGACTCTCTTATCCAGTCAAACTCAAGAAATGACATGAGAGGAGTTTTCTGTGACTGTGGTCCTACTGCCAACCTCTGCCACCTTCTCCCTGTAAACCATGAGGAAGTCTCTGGTTGTTTTGGTTCTCTGAGAACTCTTGGACCAAAGGCGGTGGTACCTGAGGAATCGTTGTGGCTGGCCGGCATAACCCAGGAGAAATCTCCAGCTTCCTCTCGAAGGAAGCTTTGCCTGAACTCCTTCAACTTTGATTTTTCTAACAGCCCGGCTGCCTGCGTGAACATTCAGAACGTGTACATATCTGGAACAGTCAACGTAAAAGAACAGCGCAGCAACAGTTCACATTCCTACACCCTCTACACTGTGAAGGTAATACAAGATGCAACTATCACGTCTTGTTTGAGAAAAAAATTTGAATCGTGTATAAATAAAAGACAGAGTACAGAGGGAGGAGCTGTAGTGTTGTAAGAGAATCTGGAGTGGCAGAGAAGTATGTTAGACTAGTACAGGACATGTATGAGGACAGCAGGACAGTGGTGAGATGTACTGTAGGAGTGACAGATAGCTTCAAGGTGGAGATGGGAGTGCATCAAGGATCTGCTCTGAGCTCCTTGTTTGCTCTAGTGATGGACCGACTAACAGATGAGGTCAGGAAGGAATCCCCACGGACTATTATGTTTGCAGATGACATTGTGATATGTGGTGAGAACAGGGAACAGGTGGAAGAGAACATAGAGAGGTAAAGGTATGCACTTGAAGAAGAGGAATGAAATTCAGCCGTAGTAAGACAGAGGAGGCCGATGGAACAGTGAGGCTACAAGGAGCAGAGGTCACAAAGGTGCAGGACTTCAAGTACTTGGGGTCCACTGTCCAGGAAAATGGGGAGTGTGGTAAAGAGGTGAAGAAAAGAGTCCAGGCAGGATGGAGTGGATGGAGAAAATTTTCAGGAGTGATTTGTGAGAACAGGGTAGCAGCAAAGGTCAAAAAAAGGTTCACAAGACAGTGGTAAGACCAGCTAGGTTGTATGGTCTGGAGACAGGGACATGGACAAAAAGACAGGAGAAAGAACTGGAAGTGGCAGGAATGAAGATGTTGAGGTTCTCCTGAGGAGTGACAAGTATGGATAAGATTAGGAATGAGATCATCAGAGGTACAGCACAGGTTGAACAACTGAGAGATAAAGTTAGAGAGACCAGACTGAGATGGTTTGGACATGTCCAGAGGAAGGACAGTGGGTATATTGGTAGAAGGATGTTAGAAATGTAGCTGCCAGGAAAAATACAAAGAGGAGATATATGGATGCAGTTAGAGAGGACATGGAGGTAGTTGGAGTGAGGACAGAAGATGCAGAGGACAGAGTGAGATGGAGGATGACTTGTCCTGAAAAGGGTGCAATCAAAAGAAGAAACACATTACCTACCTCCACAGTTCTGAATTTGTTGCTCCGTGTGCTCATGATCTTGTTTCTTGTCATTGATATGTATATGATTATACTGGTAATTTGGTTACAAATTATGTTATTAAATTGGCAGAGGGAAAATCACTCATTTTATACTGTCAAACAACATATAAAGATAAAATTAGAAACTTGTCATTATGGTATTAACACGAGAGCTCAACAGTTGACTTGAGATGAATTAAAACTTCTATCTTCATTAAATTCAAAACAAGTTCAAGTTTGTTGGAATTCATATTAAAATGGCACAACAAAGACTTAATTTGAGGAGTATATTAAAAACATTTCATGTCCACTAATAGATAAACTACTTCATTCCGTCTAAGAATAAGTTACTCCTAACTGCATGTCTGCTGGAAGGTTTTGTACTAGGACTTGACGTCTGATCATCTGTGTCAAAAAATATCAGCAGTTTGCATTTTAAAAGAAATGCCATCGCCTGCAGCCATACACAAAATAGCTCCAGTGTTTTTGGATAGTTTTTAAGGAAACTTTTAGTAAAGTTACTAGATGCATCTCTACATCTGATTAACTTCTGGACTCAACCCAATTCAAGATGGATGCCATAGCCAGCTGGTATTAGTAAACACAAATATATCCATCTCCATCTTCTACCACTTATCTGTAGTCATGTCGTGGAGACAACATGTCCACAAGAGAAACCCAGATCTTCCTCTCCCCAGCAACACTCTCCAGCTCCTCTTGGGGGACCCCAAGGCATTCCCAGCCAAAAGAAGATGCACAATCCTTCCAGAACCTTCTAGGTCTGACCAGGACCTCTTCCCAGTGGAACATACTGTATTTGGAAAACCTCCAAAGGGAGGCGTCCAGGAAGCATCCTAATCAGATGAACCTACTCAGTTGACTCCACTTGATGCAGGGGAGCAGCAGCTCTACTCCAAGCTCTCCCCAGATGATAGAGCTCCTCACTCTGCCTCCAAGGCTGAGCCCAGCCACCCTAGCTCATTTCAGAAGCAGCAAGATCTCATTCTTCAGTCATGATCCAAACCTCATGAGCACAGGTGAGGGTTGGAACCTAAACAGACCAGTAAATCCAAAGCTTTGTCTGACTAAATTCTTTGTTCACCATGACGACTGAAGCAACACCCTCATTACTGAGGACAAGGCCTTGATCCATTGATCTATCATTCATGAACAAGAAGCCCAAACACTTGAACTCCTCCACCTGAGGCAACGCCGTTAATGACACTGATGAAGCCAACCACATCCAGCCCACAAGCAAGCTTTCAGAGTACAGCGAGCAGTGCAGAATCAAGAGTTGTGGAAAAAACCTCAGCACCACTGACGTGATGCTCTGCGAATTATGTGTGGCACGGATGTCTTTATTCATAACTTTTATAAAAACTTGGCGAACAAACTTGATGTAGCAATTGTCTTTGTGCAGTGTGAGATGTTTATGTTAAATAAAAAGCTTGTTTGAGTGATGGCGGCAGGGTGGCTCAGTTGGTAGAGCCGTTGCTTCTCAGTAAGAAGGTTGCCGATTCAAATCCCAGCCTGGGATCTTCCTTCATTCAACCTTTATTTATCCAGATTAGTCCCATTGAGCCTCTGGGACTCATTTATAAGAGAGACCTGTTTTTAACAAAGAGTGATGACAGCAGTAGACAATCATAAAAGAAAGCATATAAATTGAGAAGAACAAGTGAAAGAAAATGATATAAAAAACAAAAACAAAGCAAAAACCGCTAGATTGTAAGGTGGTGTAGAAAACTAAAAACAGGAACATGTCTGCATTGTTTTTTTTCCCAGGAACTTAACAGATGTATGAAGAAACTTAGAGAGGTCAAGGTTGAGAGCTTCAGATCTTTTTGCATGATATTCCAGGAAACAGGAGCAGAGTAGGAGAAGGCCCTTTTGCCTAGTTCAGGCCGCACTGAGGGAACACTGCAGGTAATGATGTCCTGAGAGTGCACGCTGTAGCTGCACTCACGCAGAGACATGGAGGAGGAGATGTATGAAGACAGCAGACCAAGAAGTGATTTAAAGATGAAAATGTACCAATGGGAGAGTCTGCGTGAAGTTGTTGACGAGTTAACCAGTGAATACAGGGTGCAGTGGTGGGTACGGTAGTTACAGCCAGTTATGATTCTTAGTGCACCGTGATAGACAGCATCCAACATCTGCAGGGATCTTGTGGGAGCGTTCATGTAAATAATGTCCCCGTAATCAATGGAGGGAAGGAAAGTTGCAGTTACAAGGCGTTTCCTAGCGTTCAGAGTTAGACAGGATCTGTTTCTGATTAAGAAACCCAGTTTAACTTTAAAAGAACTTTGAAAAGACATGTCTAGGCCTCCCTGCTCAAGTTGCTGCCCCTGAGACCTGACTCCAGAACAAGTGAACAATGATCGATGGATGGACTGACCTTAACCACACTGAGACTCTTTTGGGATGAAATGGAGAAGAATATATGCAGCGGTTCAACTAATACAAGCTGTTAGAAGAGAACTAACACATTCCACACAGAAATGGACCTTGGCATCTTGCATAAGATCATTAAAACAATGACACAGTGATTCAAAGTAATCACAACTAAAGGAGTTTCAACATTTTTCAACAGTTTTCTGAGCTGAGGCCCGTGTCTGTGTTTTACAGTTTGAAACGGTGGCTGATGGTGACGACACCGACACCGGGCGACCTTCAGTCCATCACACCGTCAACCGCAGATACAGCGAGTTCCTCAACCTGCAAACACGTCTGGAGGAGAGGCCGGACTTCAAGAAATTAATCAAGAGTAAGAAATGATCCCCTTTAGATTAAAATGTTCAGAGATGATGCATCATTGTCAGGACTTTGCATTTCAGATGTCAAAAGCCCAAAGAAAATATTCCCTGAACTCTCCTTTGGCAGTCCGGACAGTGAGAAAGTTGAAGCTCGTAAAAGCCAGCTGAATGTCTTTCTAAAGGTACTTCACAATTTCAACGGCAGATTTCATGAACTTCTGGGAGTTTTCGTTTTAAAATGTCTTTTTTATCTTTATGTAGCAGTTAAGCAGCATTCCTGATATAGTCAGCTGTGAAGACATGCACGAGTTCCTCGCTATGAACTCAGGAGATTGCACTTATTTTGAAAGAAAACCTTTGACCAAGTCCAGAATTGATAAGGTAACTAAAGAAGACACAGCTAGACTGGATGTAAAGTCGTTTTTCAATCAGGAAGACTAACGTTTTCTCCGACTTTCTGTCAAAGATGGTGGAAAATGCTTTAGGGACTCTGCGGACAGCTTTCCCTCATCCTGAGCTCCTCAGTCCAGTGGAAGATGTCGACGGAGACAACGATGGACGAATAATGGACTACAGGAAGTACAGGTGAGAGCTACATTCATCCAGAGTTCTGACTGAAACAAATCAAAGGTTATCTTGTTCTGAATCATTACAAACTGACTATAAAATAGTGGTGCCAGTAGGGTGGCTGAAGATTAATCTGTGGTCACCAAGGCCACCACTGGCCACCCCTTGGCTCCGCTACTGCGCCTAGTGTTGGACATCCACACACTGAGCTGAGCTACCTTGGACAAGCAAAACAAACAACTTATTCTATTCTTCTCCACCGTGTAACTCCTACCCACTTGAATATATTACCATAGGCGGCTCCAGGGGGGAGCTAGGGGGTGCTATAGCTCCCCCTGGAAAAGTCATAGCACCTTCGTAGCACCCCCAAGAAAATATCAGATTATTTTCTTTTTCATCTAAGTTAATATTCTTTAATATGTAGTTGTTGCGATATTATCCTCGCAAAACACAACTAAATTAAAAAAAAAATCAATGATTATATTGAGTTTTTAAAAAATCCGATCTCGCGGAAATGAACCTTCGAACTGCAAGTGAAAATTCAAGTTACTGAAAGTTCGGTAAACATTTGAAATGTGCACGAAATGCAAAAATGGACCGTTTTCTATTGCCCAAATTGTCTAGAAAGGAATCAGAGAATGAGGATTTTTTTTGGAAGCAGACTGCAACCAACAAATAAACAATACAGTAATTTGGAGGAAGGATCAAGCCTACTGCCATCCTTCCACATCTATGGAGAATGCTGCTAACGCTGGACAGCTGGAGGATGGAGCCAGCACGTTCAGCAACCTTTGGGCAGTTCCCAGTGAGTCCTGGTGTGTCCTGGTCTGATCCACCAGCAGAACCCCAGAAAGACAAGTGATGCGCTCAACACTGACCCAGTAAGCAGCAAAAACTGGTGACATGATGCTCTTGGTCTGGTTATGCCATTTTTGGTGATGCAACTTGATAAATCATTTCCTGGCTTGCAGTGATAATAAATGACTTTATCTGATCACATTAAATAACTTCTTTCAACCAAAATACAAAGTAAACTATTTATTAAAATAATCAAACTTTGTCTAAATTCATGCGTGTATAAAACTGAAATAATTCCTGCTCAAAGAGTCAATTTTACCTTAGATTAGAGAATTAAGCCTTGATTGATTCATTATTATTGTTTGTTTATTATTGTTGTTGATTCTTAGTTTGATTATTTTTGTAATAAAACTTTAAAGAAAACTTTGGTCTCTTCATTCAGATGAATATTCATTTGTTTTGGTCTAGAACTCCCTGTAATTAACAGATTCTACTTCAGTGACTGATTCTGATCATTAAAGGGTGAATATATTAATTGAGTAGTTGTTGGTCAGTGAACTGACCAGCTGGTGTCCCACTTTAATGAATGAAAAATAAATAAAACAAATGTAGTGCAGTTGAGATGGAAAAGGTGTCACCCTTCTTCCTCCATCTCACCCTTCGTTATTGCAACAAGCTTCTACCCTGAGGCTGTTAGACTCATGAATCCCTGGTCAGGATTATCACTGTGAAAAAATCACTGTGAAAAAATCACTGTGAAAAAATCACTGTGAAAAAATGACTGTGAAAAAAATCACTCTGAAAAAAATCACCGTGATGCCACTGGATTGTTGTGCTGCTGATCTCATGCTGCTGATCTCATGCTGCTGATTTATTTCATGTTGCTGTGTTCATTCGTCCTCATCTGCTCACACAGACTCATGTTCGTGCTGCTGTTGTTTGGCACATTGTTTTGTATTATTAGTGTTTAGTGGATTCTTAGTTCATATCTTAGATCTTATTACTGTTTTTCTTTACAACTTGTATTTTTGTTGGATGTAACTGGGACTCTGTGTACATAGTTTCGTTCCACCTCATGTACCACATGTGATGTGAATGACAGTAAAGACACATTGACCTTGACCTTGACCTTGAGAACTGAAAGAACAAATGATCCTTCATATCACTCTCAGTAAAATGCTTAGCGCCCCCTTAGCACCTGTAGAAAAATTTCTCTGGAGCCGCCACTGATTGTCCTACTTGAATTCCCTGTTTAATTCCAGTCCAGAAAAAACACTTGTGTTCCAAATTATAAACATTCATTATTTAAATCCAAATGATACATTATATAAATATAAATAACCTTCAGCTGTAGTTAGCATTCCTACTTAGCCAAAGTTTTAAACAAAGGTCTTACGTGATTCAGTAGTGCTCAGAGTACATGCTAGGGATGACTCTCAGCTACAACCAAACCAAATTTTAGTTAATTATCTTTAAATGTACTTGCTTTATACGTGTTGCTAAGGTTAATTAGCTGTGATTAATAGTTTGAACTGAGTTGAGCTCATAATGTAATCAGTTGTTGAACATGCAATGATTATTTCTGTGAGTTTCTTTAAATCGTGTCTAGTTCATGAGATATTTTGCTGACAGACATTGTTGAGTTCAACAGTTATATGTAACTAAAGTCTTAAACATTACCATACACAAACAGCTGGCCTTCAGAGGATGTGTTGGGGACGATTCTCAATTACTGCCACACTCAATTTTAGATCAATTGCTGTAGCCGAGTTGCAGACATTTTGATTGATCAGCTGTGGCGGCCATTTTAAATTGAGAAGACCCAAAAAGTTGATCGGTTGTACTTTTTTTTATCCAATGAGAGTTTTATTAAAATCCATCCTGTGGTTCATGAGATATTTGCAAACAGACTGAGAAACGTATCACATCATCATCATCCTCATCCTTTCATAACCTGAGATGATTTCATTACTTTGCTGAATTTATTTCATATAACTTTGTTTTTTTTTTTTTTTCAGGAAGTTGTTTCCAAGTAAAATGTCTACATCTCTGAATATGACCGACCTCCATCCTAAAGTCTCGTACTGCTTTAGTGAAGGCAGCGCAGTAAGACGCCCCTTCTCCCTTCTTTTATAAACTGAATGAAACCACGTTATCATCTTATTACTGTTTGTTTGTGGTGGTTCAGGTCCTGAACGGCATGTCCCTGTCCGGCCTGGAGACGTTTGTCAGGGAGCAGGAAGTGGGGCTGATCGGGACAGGAAGAGCCATGCGGAGCTGCGAGACTCAAGGCAAAGACAGGAAGATGGCGGGCAGAAGTCATGGGACAGGTTGTGGCCGTGTTGGTCGTGTGGCCCCTGCAGCCCCCCATGTTGTAGAAACAGTGACGTAGCTTCAACACTTAGCTGCAGCAACTCTCCACTCTGTTTCGGCTAGTTCCTCTCCACACCGGTGTGTTTAGTCCTTACAGTCTCTGACCTGGATGTTCAGACATGTTATAATAATGAGGTTGTTGTGTGTTTTTATGCGTGTGTGCTACAGACACGGCTGTGGCAGACGCCGCTCTGAACGTTTTGTGTCTGCTCATGAAAGATCAGTGGAGTTGGCTGTGCACGGAGAACATCCAGAAGGCCATCCGGCTGCTTTTTGGCACCTTTATTGAGCAGTAAGGGTGTTTCCTCTTCAGCTTTTATTTTTTTTTCTGACTGCACATATATTTTACATCACATAGAGATCTGCTAAAACAAATATAAATGAACTCTGATACCATGGCGGTGCACCGTTGTATTCAATATGGCGTCTTCATTGTTAAATCACAGCAGAGGCGGTCGTAGCTGTAGCTAATGAAGCTTTCTGAAAGTCTTTCTTTGAATTCTGGATGCTTTTCACTCATTTTCTGTCCAGTCTTGGACCATTTGTCGAAGAAAATTTTAATTTTGACCTATGAGTCATTCAGGCGTAAAAAGGCGTCTCAGCAGATGAACCAGGGCTGTGTCGACACTCAACCGACAACTTGAATGTTAAATTTGATCCTCAGGCTTTTTGTTACAAAATGCCCATCACAAAGACACAAGTTGTTGCGTTTCTTTAGTTGAATCTATCGACAAATGTTCAAACGACACAGTTTGTTAGGCAGATCAACAGCAAGCTGATTCTAAAGAAGCTAATCGCTGAAAACTTAAAAAAGTAGATCAGGAGTTCTTAAGCTAACACATTTTAGACTTAGCTGGCTTGCTAATGCTGACTTAATATCTGAAACATAACACTGAGTCGGCTGTCAATGCATGATCACGTTTTGATCTGGAAACACGCTTTAAAGCAGTAAACACTACCAACACCTAATGTGTGGACTGACCTGGAGTTTGGTCCTGATCTGGTCACATGGTTACCTACAGAAACAGGAAACAGCTGAGTGACTGAAAATAGATCAACAGACGATGTCTTTGGTGCAGAGAAAACTGAATTTGGATGCGTTGGTTCAAATTTTCACTCACATTTGTTGAATAAAGTATGCAGATAAAGGTAGGGGTGGTTAAAACTTTAAAACTTGCAGGTTTGTTTGAAGGCTGAGTTCTCTGTTTATGGCTGCCCTGCTCGATCCCTGATAAAATTGTTGACAGCTGCTCTTTCTCGTTTCTTTCATGTTCAGCCACAGATTCACTCTGAGACTTACACCTGCATCTTGACGCTGGTCTGATTCTATCATAATTGTTCACCGACACAGAAACGACCAGTCCAAAATAGGTCCACCATGTGACACAGGCTTCCAGGGGGTGTTTGATACATTCAGCTGAGCGCTTTGCTGTCGCCTGTCATGGAGCGATGAAGGGAAATGGAAATACCCTCCGTCCATTCATCCGTCCGTCCGTGTTGTGAGAACAACAACTTTAAAAATTAGTGAGGCACTTCCATTTTGGTGTGTTGCTACGTAGACATAAGAAAGTTTTGTTTTAAAACATGGGCTGCCACATCAAAATCCAAGATGGAAGCTTCCATATATGTCCGTCTGTTTTGTGAGCTGAATAACTTGGGGTGGGGAGCAACGTTCTAATTTTCTTTTTGGTGTGTGGTTGCATCAAGGCATAAGAAAGGGGACTATTGAAACTTAGATTGCCACGCCATAAACCAAGATGGCCACCATCATCCATCCATCCATCCATCCGCCACCCCCTGGCTCTGCCGTTGTACCTGGTATTGGATCATTAAGCACACACTGCACAATATGTTGTCATGATGAAAGTCTGGACTGGATATGAAGGGTAAAAGCAGTCATTTGAAAACGCTTGATGAAATATTCATTAGGAGTACTTTAAAGAATATTAACAAATCTAATCGTACAGAAATTGGTTTCAACTTTTGGCAAAGCGCTGTATTAATTTCACAAGTTAAAGGTAGAGAGCTGCAATTGTGCATTTGATGCTACAAATGTGCAAATACAGTAAATGAGCTCAGGTGTTTTTTTTTAATCACCTTGACATCCAGATGTGGGAAACATTTTGAGCACAAGAGGCAATTACAGAAGTAGCTTCACATGAATAATAATTTAAAAAAATCTAAATAGACAATTTCAACCAAAACACAATCCCAAAGCTTACATTGCCACAGGTTCTGGGAACATGTTTATCCTGATCTCAAACTGCTCTTTGTTAGAGTAGATGGACGTTTCTGTGATGTGACACTGAAAGCACTGATTTCTGTCCCAGTTGGTTGGATGTCGGTGCCGCCCGCCTCACCAGTGCCCCATGCTGGGTGATTTACCTCCAAGTGCTGCAGGAAACTGTGTGGCCCGGCGGCACGCTGCCTGCTCATCCTCGGCCCGAGCGGAGCGCAGCAGAGAAGGAGGAGACAAAGGAGCGATGCTTGGACTGCCTGATGCAGCTGCTCCCCGGTACAAACATCAGCCGGAGTCAGAGATGGAGCTGCTGGGTTGTGCATGGCTTCTGACTGTGTTTTCTCTTTGTGTGTGTGAACAGAGCTGATTGCTGACATGTTGGGCAGCGAGAAGTACAGGCTGAGCTTGGAGACCATGCTGGCCTCTCTGCAGGACCATCAGATAAACAAGTGGGCAACAATACTGGGCCACAGTCAGGATCTGTGTCTCTGTGTTCTTCTCTTCATGCCTGTGCCTTACTCTGTGCAGACATTTGATCTACTGCGTCTGCGACCTGCTGCTGGAGTTTCTCATCCCCGAGTCAAGCGATGAGGCCTTCCAGACGTCTCTGCTGCAGAGCCTGACTAAAGACACAGAGAGGGACAGTCCTCATACGTGATCAACACATGAAATGTACCCGCAGATGGAAACAGTCGCTGCACAATGGGCCGTGTAGATAAATGTGGGATGCTCATAAAGGCACATGCTTATGGTACAACAGTCAGTACCTCTGTAGAAGAAAGATTTAATTTGGCTCCAGACTTTATAAACTGCTGTGAATTAGAATATAAATTCTGAGAATGATGCGCTCATTGATGAGACACCTTCAAAAAGTCTTACCAAGATTCTAATAAATTATGTCATATAGATATAATGTCAAATTAAGAGCTTTAAGAACAAGCCGTACGCCGACGTCCTCTGTCGCTCAGGGAATTCAACAGTGAACGTTTGTCGTTTTCGAGATGAGTGTTTTTCTGGACTAGAATTGAACAGAGTACAAGTAAACCTTAATGTTTTTAGTGCAAGATATTCAAATAGGTAGAGTTATGCTGCAGAACAGAGGTATCTAGTTGTTTTTTCTTGTGTGATGTGATGCAGAGCGACAGATCCTGGCGAGCAGAAAGAGCAATTTTATCCACCACCAGTGGTAATGGTGGAGCCATGGGGTGGCCCTAACCCTAACTGCAAAGTAGCGAGGCACTACTGTATATGCTAAACAGTAATAATATAATATATTATAGTGTATTACTGTTATTGAAAATTATTTGTTACACTTAAGACCTGCAACACCCATCATAACACATATGGATGGAATAATGTATCTCATCATGCATTTACAAAACATATTAAATTATTTTGTGGGTCTCATGTGAAATACTGTAAATTACCAAATAAAGGTACTCGTGGTAAACTATGAAAATCAAATATTAAAGATGTTATTCTGAACTCTATCACATGGTGCCATTTGAAATAGTTTAGTCCAGTTGTTTTTTATAGATATAATAACATGTCATTTTGAAATGCAGGTATGCATTCAACGTAAACAAAGCACTTGGTTGAATCTGTTGCATCTGTCTGTATGGATCTGTTTCCATAGTGAACATATGTACAAGGTAGTTAGCAGCATTCACAAGTTTTACTTACATTTTTTATTTTATTTAAAGACATGTTAATCATAAACATTGGAAAATATTGTTCAGGTTTTGTTTCTTATTTTTACTCTTTTGTTTGGACCATGGCATTACAATGAGTACCTTTATTAACCCTGACAATATAAAATGTGACACAGTTTGATATAAAACATCACATACTGTCAATAAATATGTAAATAAGACAGTTGCACAAACCATTAGCCTTTATATCCACAAACTTCTGGAAAGTCTCCTTCCATAATGAACTTGTTGGTCCTCTTGACAAAGCAGGAACAAAACAAAAGGTTTTCAAAGACTACATTAAAGTTCAAGAGTAAAATGATATTGCTCTTTTAATTTTCTCATCATTGTCTTACTACGATGTGACGAGGCACAGAGGAAGATTGAAAAGTGAAAAAAGTTTGCAAAATGAATTATGAATGTTGATAATCTGTTTTATGAATTATTGTCTCATCCCTGAAAACCTGGAGGGTTTCAAACCACAGCTTGTCTTGAGAGTTGAACGTGACCAGCACCTCACCCTCACACAGACTCTCTAGTCGAAAAGGGAAACCCGGCACACAGACCTGATAATGTCCTGAGGACCAAGAAAGGGTGACGAGCTCCTTAGTCCATGTCTCCACTCTCAATCTGTCAAATGAGAGGTAAAAAGATCCAACACTGTTCAACAGCTACAACAGTCACTAAAAGATGGAGTGAAAACTATTCCATCAGATTTAGGGTTAAAAACTGCATTCATAAATGTGGAAATATATATATTTCATTTTCCTGAACCACCTCTGTCAGTATATCAGCTAAAGCTTGTGAATATCTGCAAACAACGTCACAGGTTTATCTTTATTTCCTGACCTGTCCTCGACGAAGACGGATGCTTTTCTTCCCTCTCCTGCCTTCCTCCTGCTTTTGCTCTTTGTCCTGAATATCAGAGCTTCTCTTTACACATCTTCCAAATCATAAATCATTACGGACCTCTCAATGCAATTGATAAAATCTTCTCGATGAGGGGACAGGTTGCAGGAGAACCCTCATGCCCTAAGGGTCACACGCAGCTGGATATGTCATGGGTTCCTGGGGTGTGTGGAAGATGATGTGCCTGACTGTATTGTCTGTTGAGGACGTAGAAGACGCGTACATAATTGGATTTATGATAACAGGGTTTTTGCTGTTTGGAATCGGCAGACACCTGCGATATCGACTAATTAGGAAGACGTCGGCAGCAGTTTCAGCAATAGTGTTTTTCATTCAACCTTTATTTAGACAGGTAAATCTCATTGAGCCCCAAGGACTCATTTACAAGAGAGACCTGATTTCAACAAAGAGTGTTGACAACAATGGACAACAGCGACAACAATAGACGGTTATAAAAAGGCATACAGATTTTTATTTTTATTTTTTTTACAAATAAGATGGATAAAAAAAGTAACAAAAACTGCTAGATTCTAAGGTGAATGTAGAAAACTAAAAACAGGAACATGTCTGCATTGGTCCCTGCCAGGAGTCCAACAGATTCTTAAAGCCACAAAGAGAGGTCAAGGTCGAGAGCTTCATATCTTTTTGTAAGATATTCCAGGAAACAGGAGCAGAGTAAGAGAAGGTCCTTTTGCCTAGTTCAGTCCTCACTGAGGGAACACTGCAGGTAATAATGTCCTGAGAGTGCACTCCGTAGCTGCACTCACGCAGAGACATGTAGGAGGAGATGTATGAAGGCAGCAGACCAAGAAGTGATTTAAAGATGAAAATGTACCAGTGAGAGAGTCTGTGTGAAGTGAAACAACACAGCACAACAACTGCTTCACTGAAGGTTTTTAATGACGTTGTTGAAGCACTGGATGCTAAGGATTATTGTGCTGCACTTTTCTTAGACCTGTCTAAAGCTTTTGACCCTGTGAATCATAACATCTTGAGTCATAAGCTCTCAGAAATTGGTTTCTCAGATCATACAATTTGTAGGTTCTATAACTATCTTTCAGATCGGAGGCAATGTCTTTAACATAATGGCATTTCCTCCCATTATTTAACAGTCAGCAATGGTGTACCACAAGGCTCAGTCTTAGGACCCACCCTCTTTACAATCTACAAAGAAAATGTAAGTCAGAGCATCCCTGATGCATTCTTACATTTCTATGCTGATGACACAGTTATTTATTTTTGAACAAGTTGTTGTTTCTCTTTCTCTCACTGTGAGGGAGTTCTGATAAACTGATCATGTCAGTGTGATTGATCGACAACGGCCCGGATTAACAAACAGATGTCTGGCCCCTGAGTTGTGGGCTTTCAGTAACTGTGGCTCCTTGAGCAGTTTAGTTGAATGGCCCTGATACAGTGCATTGGCTTGGCTCTTCCTCTGCCAAACAAAAATTTAATACATATACCTTGAATTAGCGTTTATGATTTGCATAATTTGCTGAGCTTATATAAATATTTCACTGGCGCTGTTTAAATAAATAGAACACCAGTTAATCATCATCTACTTTAGTTTCCACAGAGGTTCTCAGAAATCTTCTTCACAGTTGTTTTGTCTCAAGTATTTCACATTTAGAGCCAAAATTATAAAATTATAATGGGCTTGAAGGATCATCATATTCATTATTTTTCATCATTAGCAGAAAAGTGCTATAAATGTAACATAAATACATTTGAACACACATAACAAAAAATAATGATCATGAAAAAAAAAAACAATAATAACCTGCATCATGAAGGACCCCACTCACCCAGCACCCACACTTTTTGCTCCGCTCCCCTCAGGAAGGAGGTTGAGGAGCATTAAGTGTAGAACAACTAGACTGAGGAACAGCTTCTACCCTGAGGCTGTTAGACTCATGACTCTCTAACCAGGATAATCACATCATGTTGCTGCTGATGTGTTTCAGTGTTGCTGCTGATCTGTTTCATGTTGCTGCTGATCTGTTTCATGTTGAGGTGTTCATGCGTGCTCATCTGCTCACACAGACTCATGCTCATGTTCGTGCTGCTGTTCGACGTAATGTTTTTATGCTATTAGTGCTTAGTGTATTTTTAGTTGATGTTTTTCTTGGTTCATATAGATGTTATCGTTTTTCTTTTACATTTTTATTGTTGGATGTAACTGGGACCCTGTGTACATAAAAACAATAAAGAATCTCTGACTCTGACTATCTCTGTGTTTTGGATTTTATTTTCTGCTATTTCTTAAAGATACAACTTTCAGATACTGTTCATTGCCTAAAAATTGTGTTTACAACTAACAGTTTATTATTTTGTCCTAATTGTCCATTTGCCAAATTTTTTAAACAAGCTGTTATGGTCAGGTTGGATTGGAGAGTAAAAAAGCAGCCAAAGTATACTGTACAAGCTTTGAAAACCTGGAGAACTATTGATTAAAACTACTTTTAAATTAAATGAGAATTTCAATCAGGTTGCTTGGAAATAAATAACACAATAAACTTTATTTATAAAACACTTTAAAGCAGACACAGCTGCAGAAAAGTGCTATAAATGTAACGTAAAAAACATTTGAACACACATAACAAAAAATAAGAATTGTTAAAAGGATCAGTAAAAACAACAAAACAGAAGCAAGTCATCTTCAAAACAGACCAGCTGCTGTGAAAGCACATATCCCGCCAGTTTTCAACCGGTAGCTAAACCGGAAGTTGTAAAGGGACGTCCTCTGATTGTGATTGGTTGAAAAGTTCCTCAAGTCTTCTCTGATTGGCTGAGCAGCCGAGACAACAAAGTGCAGCTGAATTTGGTTCGTTGGCGCTCTTTTGAGATTCAGTCCACTTCTTCAGCTTCTGCACTTTATATGCGCTTTTTTCATTTGTTTCCAGTCTCCTTTTGAGAGGATAACGGAATAAACCCTCTTGTCTGAGAAACACAGCCGCTTCATCGTCATCATGCACGTGATTAAACGAGGTATTGTCGCTAAATTTGATTGATTTCTTGTCGAATGAGTTACATTTCGGGAGATGTGCAGTTCTGCACTTCTCAAAGTCGATTTAAGGCTTATATCTTTTCTTTTTACTATAAATACAAGCGTATTGTGGATTATAGTTGTTTTATTCACGTCACAGGAAGGTTAGTTATTTTGGTTTCCTTCTGGAGACAACACAGAAATTTTGTGCAAAACAATGAAATAGAACTGTATTTCCGTATAAAACGTGATTTTAATGCGCGTTAGTATTTTTGTTTTTTACGTTGGCGCGCAGCAGAACAATAGTTAGGTGTGTTCCTTTTGTTGAGGCAGTCTAACGTCTCACAGGTGAAGTGAGGGTTTCATCCCAAATAAATAATGAACGGATTTAATCTTAATCATAAATTGGACTAATGATGGGATTAAAACTGCCAATGAAGTGGGGGAAATCATTATTTGATCTCCTCCCCACCCCCTGCTAATTAAGTCCATTATTCGGTATTTAATGTAGAGAGAAAATATAACAAATTCCAGAAAACACGTGTTAAAGGTTAAATATTTAAATAATATTTGATTCACTGATACTCAGCTTGAACATAGATGGGTTAGGGGCCCATGTGACATAAATGAACAACAATTAATTAATCAGTTTCAGACACTCCTGATAATAAAGTGCACCTGTCCTCAGAATCTGATTCTTCTGTTTCAACCTCCATCATTATGGACAAGACCACAAAGCTGCACAGTTCTGGAATGAGCTCCAAGACCACCAGCAAGAAGTTTGGTGACAAGGTGTCAACCTGTCTGTGGTTGTTCAGAACTGGAAGACATTAAAGGACCATCAGTTGCTCTTGGTCCGGAGCTAAAAGATGTAGGATCCTCTCACAGCTGCACATGAGGAGATAAATGACCTAAAGGCCAATGGGGGCTACAGTTACCAAAAACACTGTTGGTATTTTTTAACAATTGCCACAGTGTATTGAACTCCATTACCCACAATACCATTGTTCTTGGTGAATGCAGTCCCAAGCTCCTTACATATAGCTGTGGGCTTGTTCCTCACGTTTGCATGAAGCTACAGACTGATGGGCATTTTATATTTCATTCATTTCTAAACAGTCACACCAGCAGCTGTCGCCTTCGCTGATAATCTTGTAGTCCATTCCAGCCTCGTGCCAGTCTACGGTCTTGTTCCTGCCGCCCTCTGGCAGCTCTTTGGTCCTGATGATGATGAAAGAGTGGATGGAATAAAATAGATTTTGTGGACAGCTGGGCTTTAAATTGCACATAATGATTTAAAAACCCGATCTGTGGACGTTAAAGTCCTGTCTGGGTTGTCAAGCATCAAATACTTATGTTCCACAGTGAGTTATAAAACAAATTTTAATGTTTGTGTACTGCAATACTTTTTGTCCGTGTTTGTACTTTATATTCTGTCTCTCTTCAATCAATTGAACTGTTATAAAATATTAAGACAATGCATATTTTTCCTCATTGTAACATTCAAAGTTTTCATCAAAATACTCTAAAGTATAAACTACTAAAAAAAACACGCTCTTGCTTTTTTTTTTTTTTTGTGTCTGTTTTTCAGATGGGCGCCATGAGGCAGTCAGTTTCGATAAAATCACATCTCGCATCCAAAAGCTCTGCTATGGACTCAGCGCTGACTTTGTGGACCCTGTAGGTTTAATCCACCACTCGAACAAAAAGAGAAATGCAAACGTGAAGATATTAAATCATCGTCTCTCCCTCTGTTTGATCAGACCCAGATCACCATGAAGGTGATCCAGGGTCTGTACAGTGGCGTCACCACCGTGGAGCTGGACACTCTGGCTGCAGAGACCGCTGCCACCCTCACCACCAAACACCCGGACTACGCCATCCTGGCTGCACGGATCGCCGTGTCCAACCTGCACAAAGAGACCAAGAAAGTATTCAGTGGTGAGGCTTTGTTTTCCTTGCCTCCGACACGCCTCGTTGTCAGCGTTTGCACTAAAATAAACCTCTCCTTGTGTTTTCGTTACAAAGATGTGATGGAAGACTTGTACAACTATGTCAACCCTTTAAATCAACGCCACTCGCCCATGATCTGCAAGGAGACGCTCGACATCGTCCTGGAGAACAAAGCTGTGAGCCACATTTGATATGTTGTGACTTTATTGTGCGAATGATTGTGAAGCGTTCACTCTACCGTGATCCATTTAGATTCTGTACGTTTTTCAGCATCTTTCTCGTTCCACAATTTTTGTGCTATTTTAACAAATCATACATCAAAACGTTCATCTCTTTCAGGACATTTTGGTGTTGGTGCAACTTTAGCTTTTTGAAATGTTTAGCCTTTTCTGCTACTTTTTTCCCCTCAGAAAATGAATTGAGCTCATTTTACATCCTTCACATCTTTACATGTGTTTACAGCCTTTTACTTCTACTTTCACATTTTGTTCTGCTTCAGCTTCTTTCAGCTTCCTTGTGCAAATTTAAACATATTTTCAGCTACTTTCAGCTGTTTTTCCAGCTGTTTTATGCTCCTTTTAGATTATTTCTACTAATTTCAGCTTGTTATGCTCCTTTTCTGCAAGTTTCTGCTATTTCCGCTACTATTTAGCCGTTTTTAATGCTGATTTTAGCATTTTCAGCTAATTCCACATTTTTTGCACTCCTTTAAACTTTTTGCAGCCTAATTCAGCAAAAATGCGCTCTCCACTTTCTTCTGGTAATTTACCTGTGTCTTTCTGCCTTTTTAGCTACTTTTCAGTTGTTTTTTTCCTAAATAATTTTTTTTTCAGATAATTTCCACTTTTTGTGCTCATTTCTGCTTCTTTCAGCTTAATTAACTTATTTATGCTAATTTCAGCTTGTTATGCTCCTTTCAACTTTTTTCTACTAGTTTCTGCTTTTTCTGCTATTTTAGCTACCTTTTAGCTGCTCATTTCAGCTCGTTCCATTTCCTTCTGGTAATTTAAGCTTCTTTCTGCATTTTCAGCTATTTTAGCTAATTTCCTAATTTTTGTGCACGTGTTCTTTTTGCTTTCTTCTGCTAACTTAGGCTTGTTCTTCCATTTCAGCTACATTTCAGCACGTTTTTAGCTAATGTCGGCTGTTTTTCAGCAAGTTCTTCAGCATTAAGCATTCACACTGCAGTTTTGCAGGAAATGCAATTTCTCTAAGTATCAAAGTTTAGCAGACTTTAACGTTCTCTGTGTCCCTGCAGCGCCTCAACTCTGCCATCATTTACAACAGAGATTTTTCCTACAACTTCTTCGGCTTTAAGGTACCTTTTTCCCATCATCTTTGTGCAGATGTAAAGATTATCACCCTAGTTTAACCCTGTTTGTTCTGACAGACTCTTGAGCGGTCATACTTGTTGAAGATTAATGGCAAAGGTAGGTTTTCTAAAAGTAATGTTAATCAGTGCAGATTTTGAGTTGTTTTTTTAAGATTCCTAGTTATTAAAAATGCACATTATTTATTATTACAGTTGCTGAGAGACCCCAGAACATGCTGATGAGGGTGTCAGTCGGGATTCACAAAAGAGACATCGATGCAGCTATTGAGACCTACAATCTGCTGTCAGAGAAGTGGTTCACCCACGCCTCCCCCACCCTGTTCAACGCAGGCACCAGCAGACCTCAGCTGTCCAGGTGGGAAGAAAAAAGTTTGTGGTTTAGTCTTTTAAAAAAAAAAAGAGTGCAAAAATTTAACACTATAGAAGAGAAAACTACAAGTACTGGTTTCCCAGTCTAATCGCTTTGGATTTTCGCAGTTGTTTCTTGCTGTCCATGAGAGACGACAGCATCGAGGGGATTTACGACACGCTGAAGCAGTGTGCGCTCATCTCCAAATCAGCTGGAGGTATTGGAGTAGCAGTGAGCTGCATCAGAGCTACAGGCAGCTACATTGCTGGGGTGAGGACATTTACAGTTCTGAGATAAAAATCAAGCAAACATTTGGTAGTTTTATTTTTATTAGATTTGTGTGCTTTAAAAAATATATAATGGATGGATAACTTTGTCTATTCCGTAGTAAAACAGAGGTTTGTCTTCAACATGGCTCCAAATAAGAAAAACAAAGAACACCATAAAAGCAATAATTCAATAAACTCCTAAAAACACGTTCTCACACAACAACATATAAAAGCAGTGCATTGTGTTTTTGTTGTTTAAACCAGTTAACTGGATGAATTGTGTTTTTCTGTGAAGATGCAGTGAGTGCTGAATAGATATGTTGAAATTTTCAGAAAAAGTTGACTTGTTAAAGTTAAAAGAAGCAGAGTACCAGCTAAAATCCAAAAGTAGCAAAATGTTAGCTAAAATCTAAAATTAGAAAACGACGACCTCTGTCTTGTTTGAGTTTAAAAGCAGAAAATTAAGTTGTTTGGATTTTTATGTCTCTAAGAGTAGCTTGTAATTTAAGCTAACTGACTGATTTGTCAGGTTTCATGGATAAATATAACTATATATAATATAACTGACAAACAATGAAAATATAGTTTAATGTAGCAAAAAGCTAGCTAAAAGCTAATTTTGCAAAAAGCTAAAATATCAAAACACTAGCTAAAAGTAGCAGAGCCTTAGTTAAATACCGTATTTTCCGCTGTACACGTTGCACCACCGTATAAGTCGCATCAGTCCAAATATGTCTAATAAAGTAGAAAAAAACTAATAAGTCCTTAAGTCGCAGGGTATGCAAATTATGGAAAAAGGTGCGACTTATAGGCCGGACAATATGGTACTAGCTAAAAGGGCTAGCAGAAAGTAGCAGGAGTACCTAAAGACTAATAATAGTAGCTATTAGTGTGAACCCTGAATCGATATTAAAGCAACACGTTTTTCAGACTAATGGCACCTCCAACGGACTGGTTCCTATGCTGCGAGTGTACAACAACACGGCGCGTTATGTGGATCAGGGCGGCAACAAGGTGAGGACGAGATACTCCTACAATGTTTTTAAAAAAAAAATGTTGCTTGAGGGTTGTTGTTTTTTTTTTTTTTTTTTTTTTGTCAAAGCTTTAATCTTGTGCGTCACTGTGCTTAGAGGCCTGGTGCGTTTGCCATGTACCTGGAGCCGTGGCATTCGGACGTGTTTGAGTTTTTGGACCTGAAGAAGAACACCGGGAAAGAAGAGCAGCGGGCCAGAGACCTGTTCTTTGCCTTGTGGATCCCAGACCTCTTTATGAAACGAGTGGAGCGCAACCAGGTGACTATCAGAGTTCAGCTCATTCGCAGTTTGCTGCTGAATCTTGTGTAGAGATGCTCATTGCTCCGGCGCTCTTGTAGGACTGGTCCCTGATGTGTCCAAGCGCATGTCCAGGGTTGGACGACTGCTGGGGGGAGGAGTTCGAGGAGCTCTACACTCGGTGAAGAACCCTTTCCAAACTTTATTTTTGAACTAACAGCACATTTATCAACGCTGACCAGTCCCCGTGAACCTGTTGGTGTTTAGGTACGAGAGGGAGGGCAGGGCCAGGCGGGTGGTGAAGGCTCAGCAGCTGTGGTACGCCATCATCGAGTCGCAGACAGAAACCGGGACTCCTTACATGCTCTACAAGGACGCCTGCAACAGGAAGAGCAACCAGCAAAACCTGGGCACCATCAAATCCAGCAACCTGTGCACGGAAGTTGTTGAGTACACGAGTGAAGATGAGGTAGGAGGCAGAAGAATTAGCTTTTTGTTTCTACTACCATAATTTCCGGACTGCTTTTTTCACACGCTCTGAACCCCACAGCTTATACAATGCTGCAGGTTTTTTTTTTTTTTTTGAGGACTGGCTAGTGAGCTTCATGCCACCAAAAGCATTTAGGTTAGTCACACCCGGGTGCTCACAGAGCTGCCCGATACACGTCACTCTTGGGGGGTGGGTCCTCGTGACTCAGTGAGACTACCTGTATAAATAAAGGTTAAAAAAACAGATCTGACCAATGAAATAATTGAACAGGTCACAGTCGAACAAATGAAACGGGGCGAACGGGCTCTCTTCCTTCCTGGTAGGCTACTGTATTTTTTTCGACAACAACAGAGAGACTGAGGACGTGTGTGATTAAGCTTATGGTCTACACGAACGCAGCCTATATATGTACAATTTTTATTTATTTATTTGCACGGCTTCTATTCTGGTGCGCTCAATAGTCCAGAAATTACGGTCTATGCAGATAACTAGCTGCTGTGTGTGTCGGTAATGTTTTCATCTGGGTCTGTTCTGCCTTTAACTCAGATTGCAGTGTGTAACCTGGCATCCATTGCCCTCAACATGTACGTCACCTCAGAGAGGACCTTTGACTTCACAAAGCTTGCATCTGTTACCAAAGTCATCGTCAAGAACCTCAACAAGATTATTGACATCAATTTCTACCCAGTACCGGAGGTATGGGATGTTTTAGTTCTTCTTCTCCATTAACCCTGCAGACACTAAATAAATGTCCATGTGTCCTGTTTTCTTTAAGGCTGAAAAGTCTAACAAGCGCCACCGGCCAATTGGAATCGGTGTCCAGGGTCTGGCTGACGCCTTTATCCTCATGCGTTATCCGTTTGAAAGTCCAGAGGCCCAGCTGCTCAACATTCAGATCTTCGAGACCATCTACTACGCTGCTCTGGAGGCCAGCTGTGAGCTGGCAGCAGAAGTCGGCACGTATGAAACCTACGCTGGCAGTCCTGTCAGCAAGGGAGTGAGTCTTTTACACACACCTCTCCATCCTGGGAGACAGTGACACATCTGGAATTACGTCCTGAACGTTGCTTTTTATTCTCCAGATCCTTCAGTACGACATGTGGGGTAAAACCCCAACAGACCTGTGGGACTGGACGGCACTGAAGGAGAAAATTGCCAAGTGAGTCCACCTGAATGTCTTCACGCCGTCTTCATACATGCAGCATGTCCTCTTTAGCTTGTCCGTCTCGTGTCCTCAGGCACGGCGTGAGGAACAGCCTGCTGTTAGCCCCGATGCCCACGGCCTCCACAGCTCAGATCCTGGGCAACAACGAGTCGATCGAGGCGTACACAAGCAACATCTACACTCGCAGGGTGCTCTCAGGAGAGTTTCAGGTCAGAACAGGAGAGTTGCGTTTAGTTTGTTCTGGAAAAGCTGAGACGTTGTGTAAAATGTCAAGAAGAGTTCTGCGAAAAGTTTGGACGGGGGCAACAAAAGTAAGTGGTAAGAATAAAAAAAACATCTGGAGGAGCGTTTTGCAACAAATTAGGTCAGCGAGAGGACTGGGTAAAAAAAAAGAGGAGCGTCTTGGTTGAATCACTCAGAAGTAAAGATGGGCAGAGTCAAAAAAAAAAAAAAAGTCTAAAAATTGTACTTTAGTGGGAAATACAGTTTATAATGTAATCAAAAGATTTCCAGAATCTGGAGAAATCAAAGTGCAGGACTGAAAGTCTGATCTTCAGACCCTCAGGCAGCGCTGCAGTGAAACGGGTTTGATTCTGGGTCAGACCTACCTTGCCGGTTCTAGGCGGCTCTCTGGCTCGGGGTAGTAATGGTGGGCTCCGGAGAGAACGCGGCACGTCCCTGCTCAGAAGTCCTCGTGGGCCATCAAGCGGTTCTCACTGACCGATGAGTCTGGAGGTCTGGTTCCCTGTGGGTTCTGTGCAGCTGTCTTCATCCGCTGGGCGCCCAAGTCACTGAATGAATAAGGGCCAAACTTTTTCAGATCAGATCAAAACTTTCCCTCTAGTTTTTCAGCAGAAGGCAACGAGGCTTCTGGGCAGGGCATTCTGGGAAATGTAGTTATGAGTAGGAATACAGTGTAGGCTTATTGAGAGAAAACTACAAAATGGCAGCACCTGTCTGAAGTTTTTTTTTTTTTTTTTTACTTTTTACTGTACAGTCCCACCGTCCCGATCATGCGAGTACGGTAAAAATTTTATTTTATTTTTCCTCGTGTACAATCTTACTTTGAAGAATCGCAAAAGAGCGAGACTGCGAAGTAGCAACAGACTACTGCACACATCAAAAGCCTGCCTCTCTGATGGTATGGGGGTGCATTTGTGCCTCTGGCACAGGCAGCTTACACATCTGCAAAGGCGGCATTAATGCAGAAAAGTATATACACATGTGCTCCCATCCAACATAAAGTCCAGCAAAAATGACCCAGATCTGTTGAGCAGCTAGAATCCTCCATCAGACCAGAACGGGTCAACAGAACCTCCAGCAGCTGGTCTCGTTAACAGGAGGGGAGGGTTCACGGTGGGGAAACATGGACCTGCCCAAAAAAAATGTCCTCCACCCCCCAACTAAATGGTAGATTATTGGTTTCAACGTTTGATGGTTTAATGTTCCACTGTGAACTGAATGAGTTTGAGATTTGTTAAATTATTGCATTCAGTTTTATTTATATTTTACACAACATCCCAACTTTATCAGGACTGCTGTGAGAAGTTGTGCTTCTAAAAGAAAAAGTTATAATTCAGTCCCTCCACGTCTTACAGATTGTAAATCCTCACCTGCTGACAAACCTCACAGAGAGAGGGCTGTGGAACGAGGAGATGAAGAACCAGCTGATCGCTCACAACGGCTCCATCCAGGTAACGAACCTTCATCATCATCATCTCCGGATGCTTCTCGTCCATCACACGCCTCATTGTGCTGTGACTGAACGTTTTATGACATCACTCAGGACATCAGAGGGATTCCAGATGATCTGAAGCAGCTGTATAAAACCGTGTGGGAAATCTCCCAGAAAACTGTCCTGAAGATGGCAGCAGATCGTGGCGCTTACATCGACCAGAGCCAGTCTCTGAACATTCACATCGCCGAGCCAAACTACGGCAAACTCACCAGCATGCACTTCTACGGCTGGAAGCTGGTGAGTCTGAGCCACCTGGAGACAAATCGTGGCCAAACAGGGAGTGGGCGTTCATATATTTGCCTGTCTGTTAGCAAAATATCTCCTGAACCACTTGATGGATTTTAATGAAACTTTCAGAAAGTAATCACTGGATATATATCTACAGCTATTTAACTTCTGGAGTCGGTCCAATTCGAGGTGGCCTTCACAGCAAGATGATTTTAGATAACACAAAAATGGCTGTACAACAGTAACTTTTGCAGATATTGAGCTAAAGCTTGATGTGGTAGTAGTGCAGAGTAGTTCACATCACATATTTTACTGTGAGCCAGATACTGTTATAAAAATCTGCACAGTGTTTGACCAGATCTACTATATCTCTGCCATTTCTCCATTTATGATGATTTTAGTCGTAAATCCTGACATGACCAGCAGCAGCTGATGTGCATTACTTTAAAGAATGCAGGCCCTTTCTTGATTTATTTATTTATTTATTTTCTTCAGGGTCTGAAAACTGGCATGTACTACCTGCGAACGAAGCCGGCAGCCAACCCCATTCAGTTCACCCTGAACAAGGAGAAACTAAAGAAGGGCGAGGAAGAGGAGGAAGAAGAGGCCAGAGAGCGCAACACTGCAGCCATGGTGTGCTCTCTAACCAACAGAGACGAATGCCTGGCCTGCGGCTCCTAAATCCAGTCCAATGAAAACTGTTTTAGGCTAACATTGTGGTGCTTATGTTGTAAATGTTGTTTTTTACTATTTTTATTCATACTTGGTGTTGAAGCGATCGGTCTTTGCAGTACTTATTATTTAATGTTTACTGAAAATTTCGTGTACAGAATTTACAGGGTTGGATGAATTGACTCTTTTTGTCTTTGCAGTTTTGTAACTTGGTTTTATTTTAAAGATGAGTGTTTTCAGTGTATGGAAACATCAACAATCTGATTATTATACCTCAGTGTCAGTGTGAAGTTATTTAGATTAACCTTTTTATTTCATCGTTGTGCAAAAGTAAAACTTTATATACTCTATATATAAACTATAAAGTATCAACAGGAGTGTGGAAACAAACAGCTTGTTGCTTTTAATATTTTTTTTGTTTGGAAATGAGAAGTAGGAAAAGTTTATTTTTCCCCTTGGGTTGTTTTTTACATGTTAACTGGTAACACACGGCAGAAAGATGAATAAAATATTCTTGTGTATAAATGTTTGTCTCCGGCTGCAGCTGTCTGCCTTCAAATTAAAAGCGGGAACAAAAAAGGCAGCATTGTTAATTTTATTAATTTGTTTATTGCTCCAGTTAAAATGTAGAGAGTCCCAGGGACAGATGATGCAGCAGGTGAGAAATTAATGACCTGATGTGTTTGTGAATATTGCCTCATGGAGGGAGGGGGGGCAGAATGTGTTAAACAAGCTGAGACCTGCTCCGTCGCTCAGCAGCACCCACAAGTTCAGCTGGATTGTTGAGAAGAAACGAGCGACATTTGTTCGTGAACTCGATCAACTTGTGACCCCCGAGACGTAAAAACGCCAAAAGATTCTCAATTATTTGACTTGTTTTATGAAGCAAACTGAAAAAAACAAATATATTTAACAAACCAGCATATCTAAAATGCCGCACTCATATTGCAACTACTTTATTTTTTAATAAAGCCATAAAAGGTTTTATTAGGTGAAAAATCACAAACTGTCATTTTGATGCGTACAGACAGTTCTACATTTTCTATTATTATTAATAATAATAGCAGAAAATGCACTGGAGGTTGGAATGTGACAAAAATGATGAAATAAAGAATTTAAAAGGTACAATTTATTTAATAATTAAGAGATACGTTTAATTTTGTTACATTCCACCCTCCATATGTTCAATATTTTAGGAAATGTTTAAATTTCAGGTAAAGACTTTAAAGTATCAGTTAATCATAGTCGCCCACTGCCAGAGGGCGAAGGTGGACGATGATGGTTTAGTTTGTGTGTGTCTGTTAACACATTGTGCAAGATCTTTATTAAAATTAGCCACTATTTGAAGCTCGCTCTGTCAGCAAAATATCTCATGAACCACTGGATGGATTTTCATTAAACTTGCAGGAGCTGATAACTGGAAGTCCATTAACTTTTGGAGTTGGCCTCTTCAAAATGGCCACCACAGCTAACTGAACTTAGGAAACACAAAAAATGGCTAAACCTCAGCTAGTGTTACAGGCACTGCGCTGAGGTTTAGTGTGAAAGTAGCCGAGGATCATTCACAACTTCTGCTTTTTCTTCCAACCTTTATTTCTACAGGTTAGTCTCATCGAGCCTCGAGGACTCTTGTACAACAGAGACCCGTTTTAAACAAAGAACACAGATGAGTTACTGACAACAATAGACAATCGTATAAAATGAAAACTAAATTTAAAAATGATATAAAAACAAGCTACATTATAAAACTATGTAAAACACTAAACAGGATTTTTTTAAATGAGATTGCACTTCCTGTTATTTTTAAGGTTTGACTAAAACCTTCATCCTGTGCTCTTTAGTTATAAACCGGCGTTCAAGGCGGCGGGTGACGTGCATTCCTTTAAAAACCACTGACTCGAGTTTAACGAGTGGTTTATTTTCCAAACTGCACACGTGCAGATTTAGTTGTTGTTTTATTGATTTTTCTTGCTCCTTTCTGTCCTGTTAAACAGGGGCTGGGGTCATTTTAGGTCACCCTATGTTCAAATATTTTAGGACCTACGTGTTTCTGATTGCCTGCGTGCGCTGTGACATTTATTTGCTGGTGTGCACTTTTATATTTCCAAGTGAATCAAACCATCAGGTCTGGGACATCCTGACCCAGCAAGTCTCCGTGTTTAAGGGTTCACTCCCGTCGATGGCTCCGACCCCCTCCTGAGAGCCGAAGCCCGTGTCGTGTGAGCTGCTGCTTCCTGTCGGAGACGGAACCACTTCCTTGTTTCCGTTCTGTCCGTCTCTCTCCCTCACATTGCTCCCAAACCTTTTCCCCTTCGTCCATCCCACCTCCCTCTCCTTCAGCTCCATGTCGTTGAACTTGATTATTTTCTTGGTGTCTGTCGTTTCACAGCTGACCGTGGCGCCCTCCACGTGCTCGGGCGTCGTCTCAGTGTGTGTGTCTGTCACCTTTGACCCCGAGTTAAACTCCTCTTCACTCTTGTCTGCCTCACCCTGTGTGCTCTCCGCTTTCTCTTCTACTGTCTCTAAACTTCTCCCTCCAGCGGCCTCCTCTTCATCACCATTTTCACTTTGATTTTCTTCCTCGTGCTCCCTGTTCTCGTCTCCCTGCTTGGATTTCGCTCGCCCTTCCTCCATCTTGGCCACCTCACAGTCCTGCGTCGGCGTTTCTTCACACTCATCCAGCTGACTCAGTTGTTTGTCCGTCTCCTGTTGTGCGTCTGAATCGGCCCTTTCCCCTCCGTGGTGCACGGTCACTTTGAGGGATGTGTTTTTGTCGTCCTGTCTGCTGCTGAAACCTCTGAAGTTGTTCTTGGCCCCAATGATGTATTTCCCCAGAACAGAGGTGCCATCTCTGGACAGAGCGTCGCTTGAAACGTGTCCTTCAGCCACCAGCAGCTGCTGGATCACCTTCATTTCACCGTGCATCCTGGAGACTGCTTTGTTCAGCTCGGTGATCCTATTTCCAATGTCTAAAGGAAAGAAAAACATTAATTACACCGCAGCAGTTCAGCACCCAGCATTATATAACAGTGTGAATGTTTATGAAGCGTTCACACTATTGTGACCCTTTTTCTTCCACACATGTTCGGCTTCTTTCTCGTGTTTTTGTCTATTTCAACAAATCGTATAAAAAAAACGTTCAGCTTGTTCACGAGAAGGGTGCTATGACTTTTGGTATTGGTGCAACTTTAGCTTTTTGAAATATTCAGCATTTTTTCGTCTCATAAAAAATGAATCGAGCTCATTTTACATCCTTCACATCTTTAGATCCGTTCACAACCTTTTACTGATCCTTTCACATTTTGTTCTGCTTCAGCTTCTTTCTGCAAATTTAAACTTTTTCCAGCTACCAGTACTTTCAGCTACTTTCAGCTGTTTTTCCAGCTGTTTTGTGCTCCTTTCAGATTATTTCTGTTAACTACAAAATTTTTGCACCATAACTATGATGTATCCTCTGTGTTTTATGGTCTTCACTCATTGTTTTCACTGACAGCTAGACACTTCAGCAACTACCTGATAACACTGTTGCGCCACTCATGACAACACTTACTGTGTGATCTCTTGTGTCGTTAATTGTATAATGCAATATAGAACAATGCAATAATACATGTATTTTTGTACCGGCAAAATGATAATTAGGCACATTTATTCAGTCAAGAAACAAACTGCTACAAGATGGTGGTTTGCAATAAAATCCCCTGCTGATCAACTAAACTATGATCATGAGAGATCAAACCCAGGAAAAGACAAATAAACCAGAACATCCTAACAAGCTTAGTGAGGTATGAATGTATTTAAATAAATGTATGAAATAAAAATCTTAACGTTATGTAAATCATTTTACTCTGTTCATTTTTACCTAATTAGCTAACAATTTAAATTTTTTTGTTGTAAAATTAATATATATATATATTTTGAATTAAATAATTTTAAGTCCATCAGTGCCTATTTTGAACATAACTTGGAAAAGAAGCAAGATACCGACTTCCATTTTGGCGTGTGGCTACATCTAGTTTTAAGAAAGGTCACAACTGAAAATTGTGTTGCCATGTCAAAATCCAAGATGGCCACCGGAAGCTGGTAATCCCTATCAAATGAATAAACTGGGTTTTTTTCTAGTTTTTATATTGCTTAAATTCATTCAACCTTTATTTAGACAGCTAAATCCCATTGAGCCTTGAGGACTCATTTACAAGAGAGACCTGATTTCAGCAAAGAAAGACGACAACAATGGACAACAGCGACAAATGTATAAGTACAGTAGTAACCACTTTGGCTATGGCTGCCTCAGAGGAGTCGACTGGGCGGGCCCCAGAAACATCTCATCACCATCAAACTGTTTGGTCCACTATGTGAGTGTGCTGCTTGTGGACTGAGTTTGTTGTGGCTCCTCAGACTGAAGTCCTTTGGATGAAAGACGAAACATCTCAAAAAAAAAAAAAAGAAACCATCCAGATGACCTCAATGAACTTTGCTGGATTTTAACCTGGATTATTGTGCATGAACTTTGATGCTTATAAGTATAGTTTCCTCAAATGATTGGGGTGGTCAAAGATTACTGTATGGTGGCCAAGGCCTCCATTGGCCACCCCCTAGCTCCAGCATCGCACGTGATGGTGGGAAAAAAATGCTTGCGGACCTTATTGTGTGTATAAAATCCTCGTATGTGTATGTGACTACTTTTGAGACCAATTTATCTTCATAAACATTGACGGTTTGTTTTTTGCCTGATTAAGGGTTACCTTTTCTTTTGGTCTCCTCAAACTCCCTGCGGGCTGACTCGATGTAGCGCTGCACCAGAGCTCTGATCACTTGCTGCCGGTAAGGCAGCTGACTGTCCTCGGTGCCCTTATCGCTGGACTTTTTAACAAAATGCATTCACATGAAGTACTTTAAGGCAACAAAGACGGCAACAAGCAAAAAGGTTGCACATCATTTAGAGCATTGTCCATCACTCACCATAGAGGCTAGAGGGGGATATTTTTGCTCTGAATTAGATTTACAGCAGCAGCAGATTCGTCTGAAGATGCCCCTTGAACATAATTTGAAGTGGATTTTATTCAAGAAAGAAAACAGTAAGGTACAATATTTAACAATTTAAAGGTGCTGAATAATTGCTGCTTACCTTAAAATGTAAAACACGGCTTTGGGAGAAGGAATGATGTTGAAAGGCACAGGCATAGTGAGGCCCTCTCTGAAGTAACTGAGGTACAGCTTCGACCTGGCAAATTTCCATTCAACATCTGCGTCATCCTGTCATAAACCAACGATTCACTCTGACATTGTTGATTTTACAACGCATACATATCTAACGAATGAAGAAATGCAAATCGCCCACTGCCTTGCATACCAACGTTTTAAACAAAGATCTTGTGCAATCTGTTAATGCGAAGAGTATGTGTTCGGGAAATCTGCCAGCTACTACCACACCAAATGTTAGCTATAGCCATTTTTGCAACAGCTAGTATCAGTTAGCTGTGGTGGCCATTATAAATGGGATAGTTTTAAAAAGTTAATCAGATGAAAATGTACATTCGTTAAATATGTTCTGAAAGTTTCATTAAAATCCGTCCACTGGTTCATGAGATATTTTGCTAACAGACAAATGAACACAGACACACGGTCATCCATGTTTCATGGCAGCGGGCAAGAATTACCTCAATTTTCTGAAAGGAGTTGGTGATCATAGCAATGAGCATGTTGAGGAGGACAATGACGATGACAAGGGTGAAGATACCGTAAAGAATCCTTCCCACAAACTCCGCCAAGACATACTGAGGCATGTCCACGTAGTCCTGGTTGGCCACCCCAAACATGGTCCAGTACAAGAACTTGAAGGTCTCATTAAATCTGGAATGGCACAGAGGAACATCAGGGTGAGAGTGTAGAGATTTTTAATGTAAAATTCATAATAAAAGTCTCAATGGAGGCAAACCACGCAAATTAGGTTCTATAGGACTGACAGCTTTAAGGTCACTGCAGCAGAGATGAGATTCAAACCAACATGTTGTTGTTGCGTTCACCTCATCACAGCCCTGAAACAAACCTAGTGACCGATCTCAAACAGCAACTCGAACCTGCCAAGCCGTGGAGAGATGACGTAAGGAACGTAGACGTTGTTGATGCCACAGAGGAAGGCCGTCCCGATTATCATCAGTATGAACATAAATCTATAAAAGAAAAGAAAAGCCATTTGCATTCTGCTGTCATGTGCCCTGAATTCTCCTCCAAAGTGGTGGTTTACTCAATAATATGCAGGCATAGTGATGCTGTTACCTCATCATGTCATCAATCATCTTCCCTATGGAGATCTGCAGCGTTCCCAGTGACTCATGGGCTGGCAGGATGTATGCAAGCCGGGTGAAGCTCAGCATGCTGGTCACAGCAAACAGCACCTCAGAAAGCAGCTGCGGGTCCTCCTGACGCCACTCCTCACGCACTGACGCATACAAAAAACAGAGCAGCTGAGCGTGAATACCTTCTAATGACCCTTTTGGATGAACTCAAGGTGTTTTCTTCTCACCAGTCTGAGTGAAGTAGACGCAGTCCTCATTGCTGCTCTGATCCTGGCACAGGAAGTAGCCTTTGAGCAGGATGAGCACTCGCAGTGAAAAGGACGCCAAGTACATGCTGAGCACCATCACGTCCAGACAATTCCACCAGTCTAGGAAGTAACTGCGTAGTCCTTCGATCCACACCTCTTTACACTCATACCAGAAGAAGCCTAAATGAAAAAGCCAAGTATGAACCTGTATCCTTGTGATGGAAAAACATAAAGTCTGAGTAACAACAAAGTCCATGCTCAATAATCCAGGTATACAAGCCAACATTTTTCAGTCAGGTCATCTGGACGGTTTTTTGTTGTTGTGCTGAAACATTTCACCTTCGATCCAGAAGGCTTCATCAGTCAAGGAAACGCGCAACAAAACTGATTCTTCCCCCAACAGCTTACTCTAAAGTGGAACAAACCAGTTTTGCTTGTGATAAGATGGTCTCTTTGGTACACCCCCTCCTCCATTGCTGGCCCTCTTCCTTATTGACAGTCGTGTCAAACTGGTTGAAAACAGCAAAGTCCATGCTCGATAATCCAGGTATACAATCCAACATTTTTCAGTCAGGTCATCTGATGAAGCCTTCCGGATCGAAGGCTTCATCAGATGACCTGACTGAAAAATGTTGGATAAAGTCTGAGTGTTTTTATACTGTGTTAAACTTTGTACCAAGTCATAGTATTTTGTCTGTTTACTTTCTTTCACATGTAACCATTGGACATTGCTTGTGGGGTTCCTCAGGGTTCATTGTTGGGGCCTACATTATTTATTATTTACATAAATGACCTATGCTATATAAAATATGAAAACTGTTTTATTTGCAGATGGCCCAAATGCCTTTTTTGTTAGAGATGATATGGAGCAGTTGCTTAATGATGTAACTAAAACTATGAATAAACTGAAATTATGGTTTGATGAGAATAAGTTGTCCTTAAATCTGGCCAAAACAAAAATAATGCTATTTCAGAATAGTAGTTTAAATAAAGAAATCTAAATAAAGATATATGGTGTAAACATTGAAAGAGTAAATGATTATAGATTTCTTGGGATCATTATTGATGATAAAATAACATGGAAACCTCATATTAGATATATACAAAGTAAACTATCAAAAAGTCTATTTATTTTAAATAAAGCCAAACATGTCCTGGAGGAAACAGCTCTCCACATATTTTACTGTTCCATAGTCCTACCTCATTTGAGTTATTGTGCAGAGTCATGACTCAACAACTGCAGAACTTCACTACAGTCATTAATAAAAAATAGCAAAAATGAGCAATAAGAAAAATCAATAAGGTCGGTTATTTGGGTCATATAAACATATGATTCAGAAAATCTAAGCTGCTAAAATTTGTTGACACTGTGGAATTACAGCTATTATCTTGTTAAAAGCAAAAAACAATTCCTTACCAGGAAACATTCAAAATCTTTTCTCAAACGAGAAGGACTTTATAATTTAAGGGATAAAGGTGAATTTAAAACTTTAAAATTCAGAACCACAAGAAAAAGCTTTAGTATATCAGTACACGGGATGAAGCTGTAGAATGGTTTAAGCATGGAAATCAAGCAATGTCCAAACATTAAACAGTTTAAAACGTCAAGATGGTCATCACTGCATATCAATATGGGGAATAATGACTGATATTACTACAATTATCGATGTTAACAATTAATGAATTTATCAATTATTACTGCATTGTGGCATATTGATCTAAAAATTATTTTAACATATTAAAAAATGATTGATGCTTGATCATAATGGCATGCAAATATGAATGCATTGTACCAGTTATAGATATGGATATATAAAATACTAAAAAAGAATGTTATAACCAAGTTACCATGAAAAGTAAATTATTGGATGATGCTATATAGCTGTAAGAGGGGTGGGTGTAAGAATAAGTTTATACTTCTACCCACTCCTTTGAACGTGCACTTTACTACCGTTCCTTTTTTTTTCTCTGCTTGCTTTTGTTTTGAATTTTCTTTTTCTATAACTTTATTCTTTTATTATACTATGTTTCTATAAAGTTAAACTCAAACCAGCTGCATACTCTTCAGCTAGACACGACAAAACCGTGATAAGAACATCTGCCAGCTGGAAATCTCGCTTCAGCTAAGTTCAGCTTGGAATATATAAATAATTGTCTCTGCTGTTGTCAAAGATATTGCTCATACTGAAAGAGCAACACTGTTAGATTTGGAGGGTGACATGCATTTGAATGTAAAAGCAATATCTCCGTCCTTGCAAGGATCTTTGTCATACATTTTGTCAAATGTTGGACTCCTGAGTGATTATTTCTGATGATTTTTTTCTAACTCCTTGTCTTTCTCAAGCAGTTTTGGAGAGTTAAATCAGGCAGAGAGAACCTACCGACCACCCACACCATGTGGAAGGAGCTGTGCAGGATGTTCTGCTCCCGGGAAGCAAACTTGTCCCGGTACATCTCCATGGTTATTGACTCTCCGAGCAAAGTGATGATAAACCACAGGTAGGATGCAGAATGAAGGAGGAACTTAATAACAGGAATCTTAAGCAACTGTCCAGGCTGGAGAGAAAACAAGACCCGTCAACCTTTTATGACCAAACGTTACGCTAACAGGGTTTATTTTTGACTCTAGGTTCAACAGTTTTTATGTGACCTTTGACTTTGGTGCTATCCAGTAAATGAGGCAAAGAAAGGGCATGGTAAAAAAGATCCCAATGGAGACCAAGAGCTTCCAGGCTGTCCTGCTGCCTCTCCAGCCTGATAGAGTCCCACACCAAATCGATGACAGAACCTGCTGGCAGATCGGGTGCGCTACAAACTAGACAAACACAATGAGGTATAAAAATAAGGATTGACACAGTTTGTGTATTTTATTGCTTATGTCAGTATCTTGATTAGTCTACCTGCTTCTGGTTGTAGTTGACAGCGAGCCTCAAACGAGACAGAGTGGGTATTCCCTCCTCAAACGCCTGCTCGTCCAAGGAATCCCGACTCTCGTCTCCGCAGCTGTTCAGGATTGTGGAAACCTCGCTCTGGTTGCGGCACATCCCCAACAACTCCACGGCAAACTCCTGACAGAGCTCCTCAAGGCTCAGGTATTGAGGCTGCAGGGGAGAAGTGCCACAGTCGAGTTAGACACCCAACATGAACAGTGAACAGAGTTCTCTCAGAGTTTCTCCCCACCTTGAACTCGGGCTCCTTTTGTGACAGCTTGCGGAGCTCTTTGCTGAGACTAAAAGCGCTGAGCATGGCATCATCAGAGGTGATGGACAGGTAGGCTCGGCTGGCGATGCCACGATAGGTGTTGATGCGAGACAAGGAGAACTTGAGCAGGTCGTACTGCCGACCATTGCGACACTCCAGACAGGTACAGGAGATCTTGTGTGGCCACGGGATGCCGTGACCTTTCTGGGTGAGCATGGTGACTATGTCATACAGGTCTTTCTGACAGGCTAGGGTCAAAGGGGTCACACCAGGGGCAAACTGGGAGTTGTCAATGGAGCGGTCAAAAATAGCCTGGGAGAAGGATCTGACATCCATTTTGTTGCCCTTCTCCTGGTCCAAACGATCCAACAGACGCTTCACCACTGTGGGCTGGTTGGTGTCCACAGCGACCAGCAGGGCCTCATGAATCTGCCTGAAGTCGAACTTGACCCCCAGCAGGAGGGCGTCCATGGCATCCTCGCTGCCCAGGCGGATGGAGAGATTGAGAGCCTCCCTCCACTGGCGATCCTCAGATTCATCCAGCTGGCGGATGATGCCGTCTCCCGTCTTCAGCAGCCCACTCAGTAGCTCGATCCTCCCTTCCTGGATGGCGTTGAGGAGCTCCGGAGGGAAGCGCATCTTCTTGTTCATTATCTCGCGCCATTGTTCTGGCTGAGGAAACAAAACCAGCAGCAGTGTCAGCACAATTTTCATACACTGTATAAAACCTTGACTTTATTCTGAGACCTGGCAAACTGCATTTCTTCTTGTAGAAACAAGAAGCAGATCAACTTTTAATAAAAAAATTAAGTTTGAAAAATAAAAGATGGTTGGACATAATGACAAATAAGGAATAAAAACCCAGGTTAATACCAAAATTAAGCTGTTATAAGCATATTTTGAGCACAGTAGGTTTAGATCTTATTTCCTAAAACATATGAATAGAACGCTACTTACCGTGAGTTTTTCCATTCTGACAGACAATCCAAAAGTTGATGCTCTCTCTGTCTTTGGGAGACCTGAAATTTGTCTTTACCAGCTGTTTTGAACTTTGGAGATGAACGTAAACGAGTCCGATATTGTCCGTTTAATAAGAGAACTGAGCACTTTGGTGATCTTGCTCACGCACCTGACTGGATGGATTCATCAGCATCAATGAAGTTAATAACACAACTCAGTGCACCCCCGGGGGGGCAGACCAATTAAAACGTAACCTGTTCGAACAGTTTCATGCTCAGCTGAGCTGAAACTGTTTCTGCTTTCAAACAGGAATCATCTCAGGTCTCCTCGCTGGTAACAGAAGCCACAATACAATTAAAGCAGCTGTCACCGTCTCCCGGAGGAGCTGGAGGGAGTTCATCACAGAAAAACAAGCAGCTGCAAGGAAAAAAATCCTTAATTAATTTTACTTCTTATTCTCTCAAGATTATTGCTTAGCAATTAAAATTATGGGTTTTTTTTTTATGTTATTTGGAAACATCTTTATGGTTTCTGTAAACTTGGTTTACGGATTCATTTAGCGTCACCTGTTTTTTGACAGACAAAAGTACTGAAGAGGTTTTTTTTTATTCCGAGTTTGGTCTGAGTTAACTATAACCAATTAGACTTATATTTCTGTGCTAATCCTGCAATATATCTACAATACCATATAAGTAAATTAAACATTATTGCGTTGAGGCAACAAAACAAACACATCTGGCCTAGACATCCTAAGTATTATGTCAGTATTGTTTTCATCCTGGTTTAAAATTATAGTTTTAAATAAAATAAAATGAAATTTTGTTACAAATGCAACAATAATATATTATATAACTAAGTATGCTGCAATCTTACATAGGCCCAATTTGCTGCAGTTTCTGCACATATAAAGTTGAAAAACTCCTATTTAAGTTGAAATTAGGGGTGCACCGATTTCAATTTTCAGGCCGATCACCGATCACCGATTTTTTGAAAGTCTGAACTGCCGATTCCGATTTTGGCCGATACCGATTTTTTTTTATAAGCAACAGTGTCAGGTGTTACAAGATCACAATGCACCTTCAATTTACCAATCTTATTTTATTGTAAAACATACCCTTGAAAAATACCCTAGAAACAATACAAACTTGTTGTTTTAACTTGTCATGAGGTAGTATTCTGAAATATAAATGAAGTTTACACAATTTTTGTTAAAACTATAAAATTAACTAAAAAAAAATGTTCAGTTCCTTCAACTCTTTCACTTGTTACATTTAAAAAAAAAAAAAGATAATGCAACAAGTGTAACATTTTCAAGTCAGTGGGTAATAAGAACTAACACTGGTAAGTTAGTTCTCACAGACTTATTCCAGTCACTTTCATTAGTGGCAGGTTTTTCTTGATGAACAAAAGCATTTCTGCTTTGTCACCAGACAGGCGACTTCTTTTCTCATCTACTACATGTCCAGCCAAGCTAAACAGGCGCTCGCTTTCAACGCTTGTGCATGGGGCAGAGAGATAGGTTCGGGCAAGTAGAGCAAGATGAGGGAAACGATTTTCATTGATCTTCCAGTAGACCAATGGGTCCTGGCTCCTTTCGACAGGAACCTCAGATAGGTAGTTCTGTACCTGCATAGCTGAAGGGCTGGCCAGCTGTTGCTCCTGTTCAATGTTCTCCTTTAAGATTTCGTCGTGAGCTGCAAACAGTAGACTACGCCTTTTGGCTGCAGGTTCATCTATAGCAGGAGGTCCCACTTCAGAGGATGTTCCTGCAGCAGGTGTGCATCTGGTCTCCCCCTCTGCAAGTTTGGTCAAAAGGAGCAGTTTCACGTCATCTTTCACCTCTGCTGAGAAGTAGCGATTCTTGTACCTTGTTTTGCATAAACAAAGAAAGATGGGTCAATCATTGTGTTTTGTATACATTAACAGTTTTTATGACTTGCATGTAAATAAAGAAATGCATTTCAATCAATAAATTTTTATTTTTAATTTAATTTAAATGTTTGTTGAAATATAGCAGTAGGCTAAAAGTCATTATGGCTAAAATAGAATGTTAATAGTTACTTGCCTTGGATCCAGAACAGTGGCCAAGCTGTACAGGGGCTCATGCTCAATGTTGCTGAATCTTCTCACAACAGCCTCCAGCAGCGTAGCTTTGGCTGTACCCACGCCACGGTCTGTGCTCGCTTGCCTCTCCAAAATCCGCTTGAGTGCAGTGATGGCTGGGATGACATCTGCTGCTGTAGCTGTTGATGAGCTAATCTCCTTTGTGAGTTCCTCAAAAGGTGCAAGAATGGTGAGCACATTGTCCAGTAGCTCCCACTGGTGTGCTGTGAGTGTGGCTGGTAACTCGTGCTCAGCAGCATACACGCCAATAGCACGTCTCTGCTCCAACAGCGACTGCAGCATGTAGACTGTGCTGTTCCACCTCGTTGAAACGTCTTGCTGTAATCGTTTCCTGGGTTGACCTAACTGTGTCTGTATGTCATAAAGTCGGGAATAGGCAAGTGATGAATGCTTAAAATGTCCAACAATTCTCCTTCCTGTTGCCACCATGTCTGTGATGCTGCGCTGCGCCAGCTGTCCCTCATTTACAACCAGTTGCAGTGTGTGTGCCAGGCAGGGTAAACTTTTCAGGTTGATATCATCCAGCGCTTTGGCCATATTACGAGCATTATCCCGTAAAACAACGTGAACTCTTCCATGATCGATTTCCCAGTGATTCAGCATCGCCTTAAACTCTGCTGATAAATTGGCCGCAGTGTGAGACCCTGCCATTTCTTTACAGTTTAAGAGTAATTGATGACGTTCGAACTGTTCGTCAATCCACTGTGCAGTAAAACTTAACATGGACATTAAACTTACATCAGAAGTCCAGATGTCTGTTGTAAAGCTGAGTGTATTTGTATTAGCTTTTAGCAGGCTGCGGGTGTCTCTCGAAACTTGGCTGAACAACTCCGGTAATGCAACATCAGAAAAATATTTCCGACTCGGCATATTATATCGTGGGCACACGTGCTGCATCAAGCTTCTAAAACCTTTGTCCTCAACGACTGAAAATGGCTGGTTGTCTAATGCCATGAACTCCATCACTTTCCTCGTGGTAGCTTTGCTCTTTTCGTTGCTCATAAAAGCTAACAGCGACCCACCGACTGCCTCTTTGTTAGCGCTAGCTTTAGCATTAGCCTTAGCTTGGTTGCTCTCTTCAAACATTGCATACTTGGCGGCGTGGTGATTTCTTAAATGGCGAACGAGGTTTGTTGTATTAAAGGTTTTGGTGGTGGCTCCACCACGACTTACTTCGGCTTTACACGAATTGCAAATTGCGATCTTTGGCTCATTTTCTTTTACAGCGTAGAACTTCCAAACCGACGACATGGCTGCTCCGAGTGACCTGTGTGTGAGCTCTCACAGTGGAGCAAAAGGGGACAGCAGCTGATTTTCAGACCTTTCCGGAGGCAGATAAGATCGGTGGATAAAATCGGCTTCTCATTTAAAGATCGGCCGATCGCCGATCTCCCCAAATTAAGGAAATCGGGGCCGATCGATCGGCCGGCCGATTTATCGGTGCACCCCTAGTTGAAATAAATCTGAACTGCCTGGGGTTATAAAAAGTGGGAATGCTCTTTGCTGTGAATAACATCTTTTTCAAAATATAACTGCTTTGGAGAACAACAATGCTGCATACGACACATGATATGTCTGTCAATAAATAAACAGGCAGCAAAGACCTTGTAAAACCTTTGACTTTGAGTACGGGTGATAAAAAGTGCACAAGACACATCGTCTACTACAGATGAATCATATGTGCATCAAGTTTCATTAAATTATCTTAAGCAGATAACTTAAGACCTTGTTTTAACTTTGACCTTGATTTGTGACCTTGGTGCTGGAGACAAACATTGTCTAGTGATGATGTGCACATTTCAAGCTTATTTTGATTGGATAAGAAGTTATGGCCTGGAGAATCAATGACCTTGTATAACCCAACAAAGTCAGTTTCATCTGGACGGTTTCTTTTCTTGTCGAGACGTTTCGTCCTTCATCAGTCCTGAGGAGCCACAACAAACTCAGTCCCACAAGCAGCACTCACATAGTGGGTCGACCAGTTTGCTGGTGATAAGATGATTTCTGGGGCCCGCCCCCTCCCCCACCAACTCCTCTGAGGCAGCCATAGCCAAAGCGGTTCAAAACATCGAAGTTCATGATCAATAATCCAGATAGAAAATCCAAGTCAGGTCACGAGTTTGATGAGGCTCCTCGGACTGATGAAGTCCTTTGAATGAAAAATGTCTAAAAAAAATAAACCATCCAGATGACCTGATTTAACATCGTTGGATTTTTTTTACCTGGATTATTGAGCATGAACTTTGAGCCCTTGTATAACATTTGACCTTGGGGGATTTGCATAAGTTTCATGAAATTATCTGGAGTGGATCAGAAGTTCTGAGCAGGACAACAGAAAGTTTGGGCGTACGTATGAACAGATTATACCATAACACGTTCGCCTTCGACAGACGTATACGAAAAGTGTTTCAGTGAGAAGTTAAAACAGATTTAAGATTAAATGTTAAAACTTGCAAAGCCTCTTTATGCAAAAGTTAAAATTGTTCAGGGATGGGTCATGTTTTGCTAGTAAACGAGTATTTGTCTTAAAGTTAACGAACATGGAAATGATCAAAGAATCAAACTTGTGGGAAGTCAAAAAAGAAAATTAGACACATGAAAGGATTAATAATATATTTAAAGAAAACTTTTTTCCTCAGTCCAACAGGTGACTGAACACAGCTGAAAAACTTAAAATAAATTCACATGCACTCCAAACCAGAATCATCTGTACTCAAGAAATATTTACTGTATTTCCAGGAACCTATTCAATAGGTTCTACAAAGATATTCAATTTACATGACGGATAGTCCTCTAATATTGCTTTATTTGGTGCGTTTCCTGTTGATTAATTCCATTGTGTTGGAAAATTAAGATTAAAGTATCTTAGTTTAGGCACATTAGTTTCATTTCGTCCCACCCAAAAGAAAATATACAAAAACTACTATAAAACCACAAACATTACACAAAAAGGCAAAATAAACTCCTGTTTTCTTTGCTCTTTGATCGTTTGTTCATTACGGCCGAGTGCAAATTAAACATTTTTCTAACTTTTGAACACAAACAAAACCTTCAGAGGACTACGGCTGCTGAAAAACATCAGCTTAAAGTAAATCCACTGCTCGATCGGAGTGGCAGACATTTCCTGGAGGCAAACATTTCTGTTTTCTTTCACAGAATCATGATTTAACACTTGGGAAAGATCATGATGGAGAATTTATACATTTTTGAGCACCGGCAGGCTGTCGGCATGTTGAGAAGCTCTATGATTGAGAAATACTTTAAAAGAAAAATCATTACTAATGATTCTACAAACAAACTCGCTCCCTCTAAAAAACGTCAAACTTAATAAAAGTCACTTTTTTAGTAAAAACGCTCAAACACGAAAGGAAGAGAAAATCTTCTATACTCCTACAACACAGAGTAACGTTCAATACAAACTAAAAGACGAGCAAATGTACAGAGAAACTTTTGTTCCACGTTCTGCGAGCGAACAGTAGAGTTCACGATGTGACAAACAGTGCAGGTCAGTATCAGGGCTTAAAATTATTCCTTCCTCGATTCGGTGTCTTCCTTTATCTTCTGCTCCTGCATGCGACTCCGAGTGGAGCCTGCGTGAACAAAACCACGCTTGATTAACAAGAAAACACAACTGAGATCAAAGGAACTTTAAGGTACGTTGCAACAGAATTACAAAGACGAACGCACAGCGGGTCAAAAGTTTACATGCGCTCATCATGAGCATGAATGTTATAATTATGGGGTTCAAATGGTTTTTTTTTTTGGAATTGTTCATTATCAAGGGTGGAATGATGACAGTATTTTCCACTGTATACGTCGCACCGCCGTATAAGTCGCATCTATTATGTGCCACCACTGACGTGTCGCGTTGGTTACGAGTCAACGCTAACCACGCGGAAATGTGGGCCGGTGTTGTGCCAGAAATCGATTGGCTGCCAAATGGCGGCCTCGGGAATGTGCACGCGAGGACTTTAACAAAAATTTAACGAGATTAACACTTAAAAACAATTATTTGTTTGCTCGAGATTATAGCAAAGGTGTGTCTCAGTTTAACTTTTCCTTAGTAAATATTTAAAAAATCGATAAATGTAGCAGGAGCGCGCAGAGGGACGACTCGCTGTGCATTTCTTTGACATTTAACAAGATAAACACCTAAAAACAATTATTTGTTTGCTCAACTTTACAGTAAAGGTGTGTCTCAGTTGAACTTTTACTTAATAAATGCACTTTAATGGTCAAATCAGCTGCATTTCGCCGGGGCGTCGCAGCAAAATGAAGCTGATTTGACGGTTGCTCCAGGCTTGATCCCAGAGCTGGATGAAGGTGGCAGTCTATAGCAAGCGGATTGTGTCATTAATAGCCACTTTTACCTATTACATGACACAATGGCATGCCATACTACTCGAGTGCCATCTAACGGCTGAAAATGGTAGTGTTCAATATTTTTAGTCAGAATGAATGAAAAACGGTCATATCTCAGCCAAAAATTGGTTTATAAATATGGGGAAAAAACATAAATAAGTCGCTTCAGTGTATAAGACGCAGAGTATGCTAATTATGCAAAAAAAACTGTAGGCCGGAAAATACGGTTTACAACGTGCAACTTAAGCAATTAAAAAAACAAAAACAATTATTTTAGATTTTCTCGTATCTGCACAGTCTACAGCAAATGGCACATTACACCTACAGCAATCTATATCAATGGTCCAGACAAGTAAAGGCATTATATAACAGTTGACCTTGATTTGTGACCTTGACCTTGGAGCTGGGGTGATGAATGACACTGTGTAGCGATGATGCATATGTGTATGAAGTTTTGTAAAATTTTCTAGTGAACCAGAAGTTATTGGCAGGACAATCAAATACATTGTCCTGATGCAGTCTAATGTATACGGTAGATACTTGAACTCATCCATTTGAGGGAGCACCTCACTTCCAACCCAGCGTGAGTAAACTGTAAGTGTAAAACTCTCCAATCTCTGTCCAGCGTCACTGTGGACAGGGACACTGGTGTTCCAGCAGTTTCTAGTTCATGGCAGACTTGAGCCTCAGTGGTTCAAGTAGGTTTATTGTCATTTCACCACATGTGGTACATGAGGTGGAATGAAATTATGTACTCAGGGTCCCAGTTACAACAAACAATAGCAAACATATAAAGTGCAAAAAGAAACGGTGAATAAAAATCTAAGATATACGCTAAACAAACGCCAAACGGTACGTTAAAAGATCTGAGATATACGCTAAACACTAATAATGTAAAACAATACGACGTAGCAACAGAAGCCCGAACAGGAGTCTCTTGTGAGTTGACTCGTTCCTGGGTAATACATGTAGTGTTTTCCCTAGTTTACCTGCCTTGGCAGGGCGCTCATATCTTCTGTGATTTTTGTCGACGGGGGGGAGGGGTGGAGATGGAAACACCTGTGTGCTGTTTGCCGTTTCTACTGACAGCTTTCGAGCCAGGTGGGGGGTGTATGGATGGTCAGTATGAGTGGAGACGAAGCGCTACCTCCATAGTCATAGTTTTTTAGCTAGCACGACTGTATTGTGTCACTAGCTTAGTGCTACATAAGTGCCGGCAGTTGTCAACAAGAGACGGTGGGCGGGGTTTGGTAGGCGGGGCACTGTGATGCACGCTAGGTTGGGTAGTGGTGGAAGCTAGATGATTCCTTGTGCCATGTCGAATGTTTCATGGTGATATTGTGGGTGGCATTGTGCTGTGCATGTTGTTTTGTCGTGGTGGTCTCTCGTTTTATCTATTTCTCTTTTATTTATTTATTTATTTATTCTTCTTTCTTTAAAAAAAATAAAATTGAGCGATGATGATAAGTTCATTGAAACACCACGTTTCTACACTTAAACTGAGCTCAACAAAAAAAAAAAAAAAAAAGGGGGGGGGGGGGGGTTGGTAGGCGGGGCACTTTGTTCTGCTGACAGGGCGGGGCGCCCTGCTTGTATAATGGTAGGGGAAACACTGAGGCCTAATCAGCTTTCATTTGAGGGGGACAGTTTGAGTCTTCTTTCAGACAATGGCGAAGTGGTGACACATCTGGATAAGTTGTATTTTATACAAGTGTTTAAACTGATGTGAATCTGAAGCTGTTCAAACTTACAATTTCCAGTTGTTTTGAATACGGATCCCAATAAGTGTGAAACGAATCATTTTTACGCTGGGAAAACAAGACATTCTAGAAGATTCAACTCAACTTAAATATCCTAAATTAATACAATATTCATGCCCACGATGAATAGATGTAAACTTCTGACCGCAACTGTGTGAACACGTTATCACTTACTCATCTCTGTTAGCTTCTGTATCAGTGTGGAATCTCCTCCAGGTTTGCTGTCATTTGGGGAAAATAAACTTTCAGTCAAGTACTTCATTTCTTTTAAATGACGTAATTGCCATTTTGTTGGTCACGTAATGAATAAGAACGTCTGTAAATTACAACAACTGTGACCGACCTGCCATCGGCTTCATCCTGCCAGTCCACGTCAAACCGCAATCTCTTCAAAGGCTTTGGAGCAGGGTCGAAATCCAGAGTCCTCTTGTGGGCGTGTTTGCTGCTGTTGACCATTTGGTTGATCCTCTGGAAGCGGTTGGCCAGCTGCAGGCGAGGACAGAACACAAAAACAAAGCGTGAGCACAAAAAATACAAATTTATGATGATTAATTTTGATGAGCACTTACCCCGAACGATTCACCGATGGATACCAGCATCCTGCAAAGATAAACCAATTTCAAGATGAAAAGATGTTTATGCGATGTTTTTGTTAAAAGTCAGTGCAATTCTGTGAAGAATCTGCAGGACTGACCGAGAGCGAGGCGTCATGATACCCGGGGACATGCGCGGGCTCTTCATAGGAGAGATGTACACGTTGTTGCTTCCAGGTACACGCAGAGGGGAGTTGGGGAACTTGTAGGGGCTGCATGGCATTTGAGGGATTGGAGAAAGTGGAGGTGGCTAGAAAAAAAATCAGAAGCTATGAGAAATTATAACTGTAAACATTATCGATTATACGTGTATTAAAAATTAATTTGCGCCTCACCCTGGTAGACGCATACTGCAGGATATTAGTTTTTAATTTCTGCATGAACACTTGGTTGTAGAAGACGATGATGGAGTCATACTGGTCCTTGGTGATCAACACGTGTTTAAATGTCTGCAGCAAACAGAGCGACAATTCAAATGATTAACAACATTCAATGAGTCATAACTGAACATGAAATAAGGGTTTGCAATGTAAGTTTGAAACAGCTGCATCACCTCTTGGTTGGTGTTGGCCATGTTCTTATAAGCTGAAACAATGGACTTGAAACGCAAATCGACACTCTTTACTTTGCATATGGCGTACATGGCTGACATCATCAGCTGCGAGAACAACAGAAGGTAATGAGGCAGAAAAAGAAAGAGGAAAACAAAAAAAAGTCAGTAAGAGGAAATGAACAACCGGGAGATGGAGAAAGAGCTACTGAGAGCACTGCGGTGTTGGGGTACCTGGTCGAGGTGACGGTCCCTCATCAGATCATACTCGTGCTGCAGCGTATGCTGGAACAAAGTCCATATGATGGGCTCCAGCTCAGGGTGAGAGGACAACAGGTAGGAGCAGAGGGTCTTTAGCCTCGTATAGGCCAGACGGTACACTGCAAAGGCAGAAAGAAAGAGGAGGAAAAAACATTTCAGCAGCAGCATTACCACTCCTCCAAGTTCCTTTGTATTCAAAGGAGGAAGGCTGTAAAGCGAACAGATCAGAATAATGCTAACCGAAAGAAACGTGATGGATGTCAGCTAAAAGTAGAAAGAATGCTTGGTTTTATACTCTTACATTTTTTATAGAAGAGGCTGAGAGAGTTGGACTTTGCTTGTCGTGGAGCTTGACTGGTGACCTGGGTGTGGGGCTGACAAGAAGCCTGGGGGGCAGGCTGAGAGGTGGACTGAGAGGGTGGTGTGACAGGAGACTCGAGAGGCAGGATGCGCTGGCCTGGTCTCACTGGCGATAGATATCTGTACACACACACCAGTGGAATGAGTGGAACGTGTCAGTTATCAAGATCAGGGGGTAAATTTTCCACTTCAGGAAAAACATAGACATTGACCGACTTTCTAAGCTAGCATGTCAGGACGCTCCTTGTAAGTCATGGACTTTTCCCAGTCTCTGTTATCCTTATGATTCACACTTATTTTACAACAGTTAGAAAAAAAAAGGGCTTTAGGGAGTAAGATGATCCTTTAGTTGCAGCAACAGGACAGAGAGATTGTGTGATGACTTACAGGTCAGCAGCGGTGTGGTTGTGCTGCAGCGGCTGGCTGAAACTGGCCGGGGTCTCCACCTGCTCTGCCGCTCCACTCTCATGCTCCTGCTCCTGCCTCAGGAGCTCAAAGAGCGGAGAGTCCTGCAAACGCACAAACATCAGCATTCATTTTACCAACTCAGGCTGAAAATTACTACAAACTGTCTCTTTAGGAAATCAATTCTATTAATGATTACGGTATTTGGAAAGTTGGTCAAAAATCCAAAAGCTTCAGATTGATATATTTTTCCCACGTTTGACAATACTGTAGTTTGTCAGTTCCACAAATCTGTTAAAAAGAGTACTGCATACAGCACATTATAAACCAGCAACAAACTACTGTACAAAAATACAGCTGTCTATAGCAATGGTCTGGACAAGTCAAGACCTTGTATGACATTTTGATTTGTGAACTTGACCTCAAAGCTGAGGGAAACGAAAAGATTACGCAACACCGTCTAGTGGTGGTACAAATGTACGTCCCGATGCATGCTCTCTAATCCAGGCAAGGTTGAGTCAGGTCCACTGAATGGATTCTTCTTTGTTGCTTGTCTTTTATCCATACGACTGCAGCACCTTCTCATAGTGCAGGACTATTCAACTGGGCCACTTCTGGCCCGCAAGGGACTTCAGTCCAGCCCACCAATGAGTTCATAAAAAAATAAAAAATACCGTTAATAAATTTTTTTTTTTGGGGGGTTCTGGGTTTTAGTTCTGTTTGTTGCATTAATGATTCAATACAACAAAACAAACTAATTTAAAAAGCAACAGATCTTTGTAATACTTGGTTTATTTACATAATGACTTTAATTGTTGGACGTCCGTCCCCTGAGCTACTGGCTTTCAGTAACTGTGCCCCCCCTCCCCACCCCCCAAGCAGTTTTGTTGAATAGCCATGTATAGTGGATCAACCAGTTTTCTGGTAACAGCCAAAACTAGTTTTTCACATGCAGCGGGAGGACCATCAGCCTAAGAATGTATTGTTAGTGCTCTGATGGACACTTGCTATTCATTAATATTGTGTATGCTGTTCAGTGTCAGGAGGCTGTGATCAGTTATAACATTGGAGAAACTAAACAGCCACTGGCCAAAAGGATGGCCCAGCACAAAAGAACATCATCAGGCCAGGACTCTGTGGTTAACACTCATCTCCAGGTCAGTAGTCACTCTTTCAGTGATGAAGATGCTCACATTCTGGATAGAGAGGAACGATGGTTTGAGAGAGAAGTAAAGGAGGCCATCTTTAAGAAGAGAAACAATCATTAAACGGGGCGGAGGCCTCCGCGCTCAACTGTCCACCTCTTACAATGCTGTTATTGCAAGTATCACTCAGGGCACTAACAATCTATTGTTAGGCTGATGGTCCTCCTTTTGCATGTGAATAACTAGTTCTGGATGTCACCAGCAAACTGGTTGATCCACTTTGAGAAGGTGCTGATTATAAAAGATGGAGTTTGTTGTAGCTCCTCAGACTGAAGAAGACTTTTGGATAAAAGATTAAACGTTTCTCAACAAAGAAGAATATGTCTAGAGGACCTGACTCAACTTTGTTAGAAAAGTGTATCAAGTTATGTTAAATTAACTTGAGTGAATCAGCATGGATGTGGAAATACCAGTTTTAGCTTTGCTCTTAATTTGTGACCTGGATATTAAAGCTGGGGTGATGAACGTGTACCCAACACTTTGTCTAGTGATGATGCATACATGTATGTTTCAAGTTTCAATAAATAATCTTGAGCAGATCAGAAGTTATGGGCAGGATAAGGAGCAGCTGTGGCGGTTAGAGCAGTCATTCAATGCAAGAGTTGAGGGTTTGACTCCACCAGCAGTCACATGCTGAAGTGTCCCTGGGCAAGACACTGAACCCCTCATTGCCTCTCATGTGTGTCCCATCAGTGTATGAATGTGATAAAGCTCTGATTATTCTTTGTATAGATATAGTAGAGTGCTGTATGAATGGGTAAATGAGGACACAGATTGTGTTGTAAAGAGCTTTGAGTAACTCGATAAGATAGAAAGGTGCTACATAAGTACAGTTCATTTATCGTTTGCCACAAGAAAAAGTTTGCAAATGGTGACTAGCTCTCACAACACATCCTGCCTTTGACAAGTGTCTAAAAATAATTAAAGGCGTGAAAAAACTAACAATAAATTTTATTCAGCTTGGGAAAACTCAATAATAGCTGTTTGTCAGTAATTTTAAAGCCTTGTAAAATATTATTTTAAGACTGAAACAAAATATTTGTTTCATCGTACATTATATAAAGTGCACCGATTGCAGTTTTTTGGGCAATCACTGATCTCGAAAAAAATCTGACCTGCCAATTCCGATTTTGGCCGATAATGATTTTGTTTTATAAGCGACCCCGTCAGGTGTTATAAAGTCACAATGCACCTTCAATTTTCCAATCTTATTTTATTGAAAAACATACTTATTCCCTACTTGTTTGGAGATCTCCCTGGTCTTCATGGTGTTGACTGGTTAGTAGAGCTTCTTGCTTAATGGTGTTATAGGCTCTAGGGCCTTTCAGAAAAGGTGTGTATACTGATACTTGTGAGACTTGGATTGCACACAGGTGGACTTCATTTCACTAAGCATGTGACTTCTGAAGGTAACTGGTTGCAACAGAACTTTATAAGAGCTTCAGATAAAAGGGGGTGAATACATATGCACATGGACATTTTCAGTTCATTTCACCCAGTTTTGATTTTTTCTCATTTTACTTCCTCCACTTAAGACTATTAAGTGTAGACGCTCGATTGGTTTTAAGACCTGTTAGACAGAATTTAATGAACCTGTGAAATAGGTGTGCAAATATTAACACGCAACTGATGCAAGACTGATGAACTTGTAGAAAGGAGTGTGTGTGAAAAGGTGGTAATGGATGGAGGGGGTGGTTCGGGAGGAGTTTGGTTTTGGTGGTTTATTGCTCTACATTTAAAAAAATAAACGTTGGCTGCACGTACTGACATGTTACTAGTACATTTCTTATGTCATGCTTGCTACACCCTGCTGACGCCACTGCCATTTTGAAAAAACACACTTTATTTCACATATTTTAAGTGTTTTGTGGCAATTCTGCAGCAATCTCTTAGATTTAGTAGCTAAATTGTTTAATAATTCTGTCAACAACAGATGTATACTTAAATAAAGTTTCTGTGGTTATTTGTTTATAAACTACAAGTTAGGACAAGTATATTTTAAAATACGAATACAGTCAAAACAGAGGTGCCATACAGTGTGTTAGAAGGATAAAAGTTAAATCTTGTGATAAATATAGAAAATATAACTACTGGTAAATACATATCAGTGATGAATATCCACACCCTTAATTGTGATATTGAAAAAAAAGAAGTGTTTAGATGAATGAAATCTTAACTAAAGTTGAAACAAAGCATCACAGGGAGGACTTCGGCCCCAGTTCAGGCTCCGCCCACTGTTTCAACAGTCCTCAGAGTTCTTTGTGTGCGCTTCATATGCACATTGGGTAACCACACGGACAGCTGTGAGGTGTCAGAATTACAGTAAAGCAGGAACAGCCACATTGTGCCTTCAGGGCTCGACAGGAACACACAAGAGAAGAAAAGAGGAAGAGCCAGAGGACTGATAGTTGAGCTGAGGAGAAACACGTGACACTTCAATGTGAGAGGGGAAACATTTCTTCTGTTGTAGAGAGAGCTGCAACTCGACTCAAACTGAAGGGAACTATAAACTGAAGACATCAGAGGTCAACAGAAGGTAATTTGTTGAATTGCTGTGTGATTTTCCTCAAAGTGTTGATTGATGAAAGAAAACCAGCTGAGATGTAATCTCCATTTCATTCCAGATAACCATGCCTTAATTAACAAATTCACCACATCTGTGTGAAGAACTTTTTCCATTTCATGGACAACATTCCAGACTTTCCAGCTTGATTTGAAGATGAATTACAGCACTGACAGCTGTGACAAGAATGATGACTTCAAGTACCCTCTCTACAGCGTGGTCTTCAGCCTGGTGTTTGCGATGGGACTTCTTTTCAACATGGTGGCTATGTATATTTTCGCCTGTACGCTGAAGATACGGAACGAAACCACGACGTACATGATGAACCTTGTCGTCTCAGACTCCCTCTTTGTCCTCAGCCTGCCGTTTCGAATAGCATATTTCATCAAGCAGAATTGGGTTTTTGGAAGCGTACTCTGCAAGATCTCCGTGGCTTTGTTCTACACCAACATGTACGGGAGCATCCTCTTCCTCAGCTGTATCAGCGTTGACCGATTTCTGGCTATTGTTCATCCGTTCCGGTCCAAAGGAATACGAACCAAGAGGAATGCCAAATTAGCCTGCCTTATGGTGTGGGTGATGGTTCTCTCTGGCAGTATACCCACAGGGTTCCTTCTGGACACCACCTCGCCAAACAACACCAACTCTACCTCGAATTTCTGCTTTGAGAACTACTCGAAGAAACAGTGGAAGGCTGAGCTGTCTAAGGTGGTAGTGTTCATCGAGACTGTGGGCTTCATTCTTCCTCTGATGCTCAATGTGTTTTGCTCAATCATGGTGTTAAGGACCCTTAATAGACCCCAAACCATCATCCGTGGAGGGTCCCTCAACAAGACAAAGGTCTTGAGGATGATCATCGTACATCTTTTCATTTTCTGCTTCTGTTTCATTCCATACAATGTTAATCTCATTTTCTACGCCCTGGTGCGCTCCAACGTCCTAAAAGGATGCTATATGGAACAAGTGGTCCGAACTATCTACCCCATTGCTCTCTGCTTGGCAGTGACCAACTGCTGCTTTGATCCAGTCATTTACTATTTTACTTCAGAGACAATCCAGAGTTCCATTAAACGAAAGACTACAGTATGGTACAACGGAACAACCAAACTATTTGACAGGATGCAAACGGACAGCACACAAAACAGTCCGAGCACTTTGCAAAGAAGCCTTACACTGAAGAGCATGAGAGCCAAAATATATGACGAGTCCACAGTTTGAGCACACTTCTATTGTGCAACGAGACTGGCAGAACTTGAGCTGAATGAAAGAACAGAAACGAAAGCAGAGTGACTTTGAAAGACAAACAAAATGGTTATTAGTCACTCTCGCCCAATGGACGTCACAGAGACTTTGAACTGGGATTTAAGACACTGATCCTTATAAAGCCAATAAAATAATGGAAATAAGTGTGTTGCAACATGAAACCCTTGATCGGGGCAGAAATGTGTGAGAAAATCTACAAAACACTTGGCTTAGTTGAGGAATGATAGGCAAGTGCTGATACAAACACGCATCAGCTTTTGCACAAATTACGTTGTACTTGTAAAAACCAGTTTTATAGTTCTTTTAAGGTGCAGTAGAAAGTGGCTTGTTACTAATTTATGGTCACCTTTGTGCACTTCGAACAGCAACGTAATCTGTGACTGATTTTCCCGTAAAACTGACAGTGAATAAAGCGTTCCACTTTTCAGAAGACAAATTATTTCCTGAATGACTGAATAATGGGGTTTAAAATGTTAAATGCTATCAGTTTCTCTTGCTGGGCGCCACCAGGTTATTTATCTAGATTGCTTAAGCATGAAAGTGCCGACAATTTAGGTACAAATACCGTGTTGTTTTTATGGACATGTGCGTATAAAGTTTACTTTAAAATTAACATTTAAGGTGTAGCCTTTAGAGGACACTGGCACAGTGCAAACACTGCAGGAGACTGATAACTTGTGCAGAAAGTTTACGGTGGGTAAAAACAAGAACATATACGTAATTTTATCTGCCCCACTAGATTTATGGATGCAAACTACAAAAGAGCATGCAGCGTTCACCTACCAATACACTACACACACACAAAATCACTGTACATGGTGTACCTGCCGTCAAGCTTTACTGAAAATGTTCTGTACATAAGGTTAGTTTGCCCACATGTGAAATAGAATACAGAGGAACTCGAATCCTAGTAAAACATTTGCTCTTTGCTGTGAATAAAAGAACTACAAGACGGAGCATCACTGCATTCCTGTTCAGAGGCTTGGCCTGAGGGTCCAGAACGACAAGAGTAGACTCATCACCTTCACTGACGAAACAACCAAAGCATGTGAGCAACAACACGCTCCCTGAGAAAGGAACACTTTTACAAAAGCACCACAAGGAGCACTGACGCAGCAGTGAAACAAACACATTTTTTACATTAAATCGGTCGCTTCTCCACAGGGACGGACTGCAAGTTTGAGTTGGCGACTCAGAAAACAGGCACATTTTCTGTTGTATTCAGAGTCAGAGATTTTATTCTCACTAAAATCGGAGTGTCTGCGTGTTCGTGATCACCAACCACGCAAGCTGTGCGACTGCGTTTTACGCTGTCAGCTTTTGAAAGTTCATGTGCACAGCTTGCAAACAATCTAGGCCAGGGCTATTCAACTGGTGGCCCGGGAACCAAATCAGGCACATGGATGAACTCAGTTCGGCCCACCAGTGGGTTCATTTTAAATAAACTTAGATTTTAAACCATAAAACAAACTAACTTAATGACAGTAATAACTGCTGGACGTCTGCCCCCTGAGCTCTTGGCTTTCAGTAACTGTGGCCCCCTGAGAAATTTAGTTGAATAGCCCTGATCTACAGATAGATGCATGGATTTACAGCCCAATGAGATTCATTTGAACTTAAAAGTAGAAAAAAAATAAATACTGAATGTTCTAAGGAAAAACGCAAATGATTTCATATTTTTTCTATATAAATTATGGCCTGTGAAGTAAATAAAAAAGTACATTCTGGAAGGAAAAAGGGTTTTAAAACAATTTTAAATGCTTGTTCACATTTAAAAATTCTCATGTAGTAAATAGTTCCATTAGAGACATAAAAGGTATTTTATAGGGAACTGGCTTTGGCCTTTATTTTTGACTAGTCAAAACAAGTTGAGATCAACATGTTCTCCTTTTAGATCTAAAAATAAGTTTCCCACAGTGCCTGTCTGATAAGATATACTGAACAGCTGTAAATCTGCAGCGCCTTCTGTTGGTTAATAATTGCTGTTCATCTATCGGCGTGATGTGAATACAGTTAATGATCAACTCCAATCACCGGGCGCAGTAATTATAACTTCCAACATCATGTTAAATCAGGCAAACTTTACTGGAAGGGTAATTCCTAAACTTAGTTCAATCAGAAATCTAGTCCCACAAATAAACTGGTGCTAAGAAAGTTTAAAATTATTCAGTGACAAAAAATAACTAAGTAGCAATAAATCATCGGTATGCACTGATGGAGGGAGGAGGGAGAGAGAAAGAGGTTCTGATTTGTGAGGCAACGGCTCAGTCCGTGATCAGTTACAGCGAGTTTTAAATGATGCTCAACACCAGCTGATGGGAAACTGAACCAGATACTGGTGAGTAATCAAGTTGGACCTGTTTCAATGTACCTCTGAGCCGCGTTAATGCAAAAGAATGGACGAAGAACTGAGTTTTGATGTGATCACAAGTGATCAAGAAATGGAAAAAATATTTTAAATAGCAACAGCATAGTAATGGTAAATATATAACAGAAGTCTTGATGTGAAATAGTTAGACGACACACTTATATTTGTTGAACGTTTAAATTTAAACAAAACTAAATATAGAGTGCACATAATGCATAATGTCTTTGCTGCTGCGACCTGAGGTGAAAAAAGTTGACAAGAAAGGTGATCTGCAGTAAGTGAGCTTGTATTTCAAAGGTTAACAGAATTTAGGATCTATAAAAAGAGAGTACAGATGTGAGACAACAGTCGCCCCTTTCGACAAGAAAAAGTGAAGCTGATTTATGAGCAGGTGAACTGTTATTATAACAAACAGAAAGCACTAATAAAAAAGCTTACAGTAAACGATTTCATAACCTTGTCTTAGAGATGTTTAACTACATATTTGATTACTGTAATTCTAATTAAAAACCTGACAGTCTCAACCAAAGATGATTTTTACAAGTTATTTCACGTGCTGCTTTTATTCACTCTGAATAAAATTAAATCAAATGTTTACTTGTTTTATGGGAGAAAGCTGCACGTAAATCTTTATTGGCAGAAAACACCTGTGTTGCAGCAGTGCATTCATGCCATCTTGGTAAATTTACATTTCATAAAGACGTCTCGTGTTTTAATTTGTCTCAGGTTTAACTGTTCCACCGGAAGCAGCTGAACGTGTTCCTTCCTGCCGATAAATGATCACTTCCTCCAACCAGACCTCCTCTGGAGGTGGGAGCACCACCGTGATTTAAAGTACCCACGTTACTAAACAGGTTGGAATATGGAGCTGTGGAATAACACACACCTGACAGGGAAGTCCAGCTCACTCTTGTCCAACTGCACTGTGGACACCAGCTACCGCTTCACCTTTTACCAAGTGTCCTACAGCGTGATCTTCCTGCTGGGACTGGCCACCAACAGCCTGGCTCTGAGGAGACTCTGTTCGTCACCCTGCACGATGAACAGCACAGCCATCTACATGTTCAGTCTCTCCTCAGCAGACTTGTTTTTTGTCATCTCTCTACCGATGAGAATCTACTACTACCACCAAAGAGCTCGAGTCTGGTCTTACAAGACGGGCGACTGGACTCCAGGAGCAGCTTTCTGCCAGATCACCTTCATGCTCAAATACATCAGCTTGTACGGAGGCATCTTCTTTCTGGTGTGCATTGCTGTAGACCGGTACCTGGCCGTGGTGCACCCCCTGGCACCGACGCTCCGCAGGCTGCGTGCTGCGCAGATGGTAAGCGGAGGGATCTGGTGTGTGGTGCTGGGACTCAGCGTAAGTCTGCCTTTGTTGCGTTTGGCGGCGTCTCGTCAAAACCAGCCCTGCCTGCTGGACCCGACCTCTCGGCGCCACAGAGCCTTCATTCTGGCAGCTCTGAGTTTAGTTTTGGGCTCGTTTCTGCTGCCCACTTCATTACTCCTCTACAGTTACTGCAAAGTGCTGAGCGTGCTTCGACACAAAAGACATCGCTGCCGAGGCCACCGTCGCAACCGAAAGCAAACCCTCAGAGTTATTTACTGGGTGCTGGGTGTCTACCTGCTGTGCTTCCTTCCCTACCACATCAATCTGTTGGGATACACCCTCACACACATGAAACTGCTGCCGCACTGCGGCCTGGCAAAGCTGACAAAGTCCGTGCACCCCGTGGTGCTGTCTCTAGCCAGTTTCAACTGCTGCCTCAATCCACTCATCTACTACTTCTCCAGCAGCCTGGTGCACAGAGAAGCTCCCAGATGTGGAATCAGAGGCAGGTAGCAACAGTTACTGAAAAAGACATATTTTTAATAAAAACTGAATCCCCATACAAAAGTAACCTGCATGTTTTGATTCAATTAACTACAGCCTTGTCAACTTATCCACAGTACTCTTTTTGATGAAGTCTGAGCTCTTCTTGTGGTTGAAATAGAAAATTATTTGTGAGATTTCTTTTGAGCAATTCAAAAGTTGTGCATTCAGTTCCTTCTTCAACATAAAAGTCATTACAGTCTAAGATGGAGTTCATTAAAGTGACTTTGGGAGCATTTATCCCTGTGTAACCGTGTGTCGGTCACCAAAACAATTGTTTTAAAGAAGTTTATAAATCAATTCTTCAGATTTTTTAAGTTGACATTTGTATCCGAGTTGGTTGGACTTTATTATACGTGTGATCTAAACTCCATAAAATAATCAAAAACTGTATTCAAAAGATGGATAGATGAGGACAGCACTTCTGAGCATTAAAAATGCTGTTAATTATTTTAATCTATGGATTTTACAATCTCAACCACTTAAAATTTAAAATACTGACTGTCTAAACCTAAAACTTAAGGCTGTGATCGATGAACCAAAATCTGACCTCACGATGAGTATGTAAAACTTTCAGATAAATTGAGACACGTGCTCTGCTTGTTTGAGCAACTCATTTGACTCAGTTTTGATTTTCATCCATTTCTCCATCATTTGCTGCTTGTTCTGGAGTGCAGGAGCTTGAGCCCAGACATCGCTTTCCTCAGCCACCTCTTCCAGTTGGAGGATTCAAAAGTGCACCTTCCTAGGGAGGTGTTCAAATCCTTACCAGATGCCCGAACCACCTCAACGAGTTCCTCTCACTGTGGAGCAGTAGTCTACTCTGTCTCTCCAAGAAAATTGAACTTTTCACCCCGTCTCTAAGGGAGAGTCCAGCTACCCTGCAGAGAAAACTTGATTTGATCACGTGTATACCACCATCTCATTCTTTCAGGCCCTACTCAGAGTGTGAGACTCTGGGTTGTGGCCCAGTCACCAGGCGTTTGCTGATAAGCCCCTCCCCCAGGCCTGGCTCCAGGGTAACCCACGTCAGGGCAAGGTACGTTGAGCTGCTTGCTCTTATCTGTCCATAAAAGTATCATAAATCGCTCGTTGTCTGGCCCATCACCTAGGACCAGTCTGCTTTGGGGGACCCTACTGGGGCCTGTTGTCCCCGACAGCTTCGCTTCTAGGATCATTCAGGCACACAAATTCCTCCATCACAATAAAATAGCAATTTATCGAGATTTTTATTGTCTTAAAAAATGGATTTTGGAAAAAAAAATACTGTTTTTTCCCCACACTTGTTCAAAACTAGAAAATGCCCCCCAAAAAAAGAGAATTAGAATAAAAATTTGAATTAAAAAAAAAAAGAGAAAAAACTGTTGGAAAAACTGCAAAATAATTCAATAAATCTAGCCTTTTGTGTAAACTTCAATCACATATTAATAGCTGTTATTGTAGTTCGATGATAACATGAGTTGCTCATGTTGACATTTATTACTGCACCTGGGAAAAGGGGAAGACAGTGGTGTACATACACGAGTGGGAGAGTTATAAAAACTTAAAGAAACAAAGCTGCAAAGATAGCATGAAGGTTATTACGGGAATATTAAGCAGCTCAAAAGTTTGTCACACTGTCCAATTGTTCTGGGGAACATACTTGAGTAAAGCAATAAGCTATGTATGGTAATTACACAAAGCTTTAGTTACATTTCTAAAGAAGGTACTCAACAGGCTGTGGCAAATGTTAAAACATAAATAGGAAATTACACCATAAGTGGTTCATCAATCTAATACAGAAACAAAAACATGGATTTAATGTATAGTATTGCCAATCACAGAACATCTGGAGCTCTTTAGTATTATGCTAAAAGGTGCTGCCCTCTAAGATTTGTCTCTAGTCAAAACAGTCATCTATGCATTTGTGCACTTAAATATTTAAAAAAAGAAAAAGGTTGAATTTATTGAAAAGCTGAATCATTTTCTGAAAATCATCAGCCGATTTCTGCATTATATGTTGTGCATCTTTCAAACCAGTGTGACTCTGGAGTGAGACAGTACTGACCTTCCTCCAAGCAATCCTCTCCATGATGAGGTTCTCACAGGTCTCCAGATGTTTGATGATGTCTTTGCTCAGCGTGGGCTCGGCCTTGATGAAGCTCTCGATCACTTTGAAGAAGTCGAAGGCGGCCAGGTTGAACACGTTCAGTATCCAGGGGAAACACACGTCTGTTCCGGCGTGGTCACTTCCTCCGTTGCTGTACCTTCCATTTTTAAAGCTGCTCTCTATTGATGCAGCACAAACAAAAAGAATTATGACAAAAATACACAAGGGCACATTTATCTACAATGTTAAGAGTACATTGCACAACACAGGACTTTGAGAAAGAACAAGTCAGGGGTGTCCAACGTATGGCCCACGGGACATCTGCGGCCCTTGGAATGATTTTGTGCGGCCCACAACCTCAATTTAAGAATAGTAAAATTTTGGCCCGCAGGCTTAAGAGGTTGATGTAGACATACACCTTCTCCAGGTTTAATGGTGATACACACATTATATATGTATGTGTATAAATGTTAGGTTTAATAGAAGTATAGATGAGAAAAATATATATATTTTCAAAATATTCAGTGTTAGATGCAATACTAACCCTTGGCTATATAATTACTTTATTTATTTATTTCAATGTTTTGGTACAAAGCACCACAAACCTCTACTGACTTTTACGAAAAAGTACACTTTTGTATTTTTATTTATAAAACTTGGCTAAATATAATGAGTGTTTTTAAAGAAAATTAGTGGAGTTGAGTTAATCATGGATGAAGGGACATTGGACTAATTGTACGATTTTGCTTTTGAGAATAGACTATAATGAATTTTCTAAGCACGTGAAGATAAAACAAACAAACAAAAAACAGAAGACCTAACAAAACAAAGGAACTGCGGGGGGGGGGGGGGGGGGTGTCTAACAAGGTTAATGTTTACAAGGCTTTTTATATTTCGGATTATAACAATTTAGAAATCCTTCCTTACACCAAAATTACTATAATTTTGTAATTTCTTTAGAATATTGTTCACATTGTTGAGAGTGAAAAAAATTAATATAAGTAGTATTTTTTAAAATCTTTTATTCAAACTTTTGTGGCCTGCGAGTACTTTTATTTTGACAATTTTGTTCCGCAAATGAAAAATTGAGACACTCCTGTAATCAGTTAATCATTTAAAACAATGACAGGAAGCACCTTCATATGTTGCCATGACAACTTCCAAGGCACATGCCAGAAGTGACGTGTGGAAAGTGGCGTCATTGAGGAGTTTACTGAAAAATAAATCAAAATGACTCAGGGAAAATAAAGTTTGTTGTGTAAATATCAAAACACGTGAGGAGTAAACATGTAAGTCTGAGTCCAAGGACACAACGACTGACTGTACCTGAAATTTTGCACAGACAGCCGCTTCTCTTCCTATAAAAATATATTTGACAAAAAGTCTTCAGATTAGGCTATCATTAACATTCAGAACAATCAGTGTTTGTATGTTAATTTAACGTGACAGTCTAAGCACACAGTGAAAAAACAAAGACAAGAAAAATAAAACTAAACGAGTAACTTTACCGATTTCAGCATCGCCTCCATGACTTTATAATAAAGTCTCACACCGAGAGCAAATCTCTGGAATATGAAATACGATTAGATAAAATTCAAGAGCAGAATATGTTGTTTTATTTTCCTTGATCGTACCTGTCTACCGTAGGCCACACAGCGGGGCCCAACTGCCTCACCAAACTTCTGACTGAACAACTGTCCCAGCATCTCCAGACGCTTCTGCACGGCCTGCGTCGGGTCCACGGTGCAATTCTGAAAATAATAATCAAACAATCTTGAATTATTCCGAGGTGTGAACTTATAGGACACTTTAACTGATGCTGATGATTCACGAGACCCACTCGGAAGTACGTGGTCAGTTTAGTTGACGGCTGGTCTCCACTGGACGGGAGCTCTCCCCTCAGCAGCTGAATGGACGTCATGGCGGCTCTGAAAAGAAAAGAGGAAACTTTAAAGTGATGACAAACAACTGTAGAAACAAGAGTCAAATCTAAAAAACTACAACACAATATGATAAACGTCTGGAGCTCTTCGGTTGTCCATAAAAGACCAATTTGATTTAAAAATATTTTATTTTACAAGACAAAAATAGGCTGCGAGTAGAGGCAGACAACATTAGTTTTCTATGGGCGGTGTATTTTCCTATTTGTGTACAGGCATGACCTACTGCAGATTTTTTTTTTAAGTGACCAAATAGATGATCAATCTTTAGTTGCAGGATTATTACACTTATTTTTCACACTTGATAAAACATTCTGGGTATGCACAGAAGAAAAAAGATACGTTTTTTTTTTAATGCAACTTTGCTTCATAAATCTCGTGTTTAACCAAACCCCTGTATCATCTGCTATGTCATAGTTGCCATAAATTTTTTAGGATAAACAATGAAATGGTTCATATACACAGTTTTCATCAAGACTTTTATTAAGAGCAACTGTATTGAAAACATATGAGATCTTAGCCTTTTCCTTCGGAAGACAGAAGGACAAGCTGCTCACCTGATTGGAGTCTGAGGAGGAATTGGCACTTCCTCTTCATCCTGCTGGTTCTTTGTTGGTGTTTGCTCCACTTGTATTCTGAAATGCAGAAAATGATAAAAAAAAATAAAAAAAAACAGTTTTCTTTAATACTCCGTCTTTAAAAACAAACAGTGGCAAACAGTAAGGAGGAAGATCTTTCAGTTATCAGGCTCCTCTTGTGGAACCAACATCCAGGTTCTGTCCATGAGGCTGACGCATTGTCTACTTTTAAGTGACGTCAAATTTGAACAGTTTTAGGATTTCTGTTTTGTCATTTTTCAACAATGGGCTCAGCATGAGCGGAAGATGAGGCAGAAGACCATGGAGAATGTTGTTTTCCACACAAGACAAGCTGACGGCTCCTTATGAGGTAAGAGAAATGTGTGTTTGTTTGCTCTGCGTTGTAGTCCTCTTCCTGCTTGCGGAGCGGTGCCCGGTCTGCTTACATTCACACTGTACTCGAAACGCGCTCGAGTTTTTTTCTACCCGACCGAGACCTAGTTTTAGAGAGGGTTTCAGAGTTCGCCTTTTTGTTCCGTGACAGAGTTCGAAGGCGAGTTCACACCTCCTCAAACGAACCGGACTTCCTAGGCAAACGGGCTAGAGTTGGGGACAACAGGGCTGGTGTGAATGCGCCCTTAGTTATGCTGCTACTGTAAAGGCTTAGACTGCTGGAGGACAAACTGACAACATTTCCTAACTCTACTGGTGTCTTTACTTGCTCTACTCTGCCTGTTTGCATTTGTAATTATGTATATCCTTAATGTTTATTTTGTCTTGCCTCCAATTATTTTATTAACCTTTGTTTAACCAGGGAAATCTCACTGAGATCACAGATCTTTTGAAAGGGAGGCCTGGGTCTGAAGGCAGCCTAACATACTGTACTTTCCCATAGTAAGCACACCCAGACCGGTCATTCTGTGAGTGTTTGCTTCTTCCTGTCCTCTCAAACCCCAGCTGGTTGACACAAATGGCCGCTCATCCTGAGCCTGGTTCTGCTGAAGGTTTCTTCCTGTTAAAAGGGAGTTTTTCCTTTCCACTGTTGCCTTTGTGCTTGCTCAAGATGGGAGACTGTGATGAAGTGAAGATTGAATGCAATCTGACGGCCTCCTACGATAGAGAACTTTTACTAAATTGGTTTTGATAACGTATGTGAATGTTTCTGTTCAGTGCCCTGAGACAACTTCTGCTGGGACTTGGCGCTGTATAAATAAACTGAATTGAATAAAAAATTTTTTTATTACGTCTCAGCGGTAGAAGCAAGAACAGTCTCATCTCCATCAAAAAACAACCGTCCGTCAATCTCTCTGCTCTTGAGGTAGTGCTCTTCATACTGCTGGTTGACGTCCGTCACCTGGGATCAGAAAAACAGCACAGATTTAAGGTTTTAACAAGTTTAACAAGGTTTCAACACCAACTCTGTCTGACAGCACTTTACACTTATCGACTGAACCGTTAAAGTTAAAAATAAGCCTGTCTGGTTTTAATAATAATGATTTTCACTTGTTCCATCCTGACCCAACTGAGAGCTACCAACACTACAGTATATTAATAAGTGATTAAAACCTTAACCTATTTCATTAGTAAGACAAGAGTACTGCATTGTACTGCACAATATACGTCCATCAAGAAACAATTTAGCAGTGCAACGATCTAAAGAAATTGTCCGTACATCCCGAGACTATGTAAAATATTTGACCTGGATTTGTGACCTTAGATCTGAGGTGATGAAAAGTGCACGTGCTGCTCCTTTTTATGCACGTGTGTATGAAGTTTCATGAAATTATCTCCAGCAGATCAGAAGTTCTGGTCCGGAAAAGAGAAAATTTATGGACGTATGGACGAAAAAACAGACAATACTTTAATACGTCTGCCTTTCGACGGGTGTATAATAAATAAATAAAAAAAACATAAGGACATTGATATACTCAATTTCAGAAAAAACACACACACTTGAATGTACTTTTACAACTAATCAATACTTGGGCTCAATTCAAGATGGCCTCCACAGCCAACTGACATTAACAAACTAACAAATAGCTAAAGGTAACTCTTCATGTTTATAAATATTGATATAATCTGGTGTGGTAGTAGCCGAGACTCATTCACAACACCTACTCAGGGTATGACATCATAATATTAAGTAATGACATCATAATATTAAGTAATAAGTGCTGTGTGTTGTAATCATTGTATGTTCCCAGACAATGGCAAAATTAGTTCTCTGCATTTAACTCATCGCACCTGAGATGCACCCAGGTGGAGCAGTGGCAGCTACGTAAGCTGCCCGGAGAGCAATTAGGGATTAGGCGTCTTTCTCAGAGACACCACGACATGTGGAAATGGATGGGGATCGAACCTGGGGCTTTTGGGTCCCGAGTCTGCTGCCCTGTCTCTACCCTATCTCGGCCCCTAAAAACATTTTGCCACTGCTGTGGCATTAGGAGTCCGTTTGTGTTTACAAGACAAACTGTGTTCAATGCGAAAAAAAAACCTGCAACATTTGTTTTCAAAGTTTTAACTCCCAGAACTAGAACTAGGCATAATTTGGATTCATTCACTGCTGAACCCATCAGCACTCTAACTTTAGGGTTTACCGTTCAGTCTGCAAAACCAAAATACAAAGACTTAAAATCTGAAGACAAATTTTGTTGCATTTGTACCAAAACACACTGGAAATATTTTTCACGACAACTATAACCTGCCTGGATCTGCTCAAACATATTTCTATAAAAACTTCCAAGTTACTCACGAGCCTAAAAAGAAGAAGCAGATAAAGATAATGGATGGATGGTATTTCAAGTTAAACTCTTCAAACTCCCCCAGTCAGACAGCTGATACTTTAAATCTGAACAACATCTTTTGAGATGCAACTTCTCAATGTTCAATGTTTAAGCTGCTTTACAGAAGACGGATCAATCAGGTAAGACGAGCATTATTCACAAGTAAGACACTGTCGTCTTAAAACGTTCACCATCTGTTTGTTACTGGGGTAACGCATCAGTCACACAAACATGTCCTGCATTGTTTTTTCAGAGAAGTGTGACAGCTTCAGTAGCATCCTGTCCCCACAGTTTCATATCTGCCTCTGCCAATAAACTACTGATGTATTACAAAGATTCACAGCTTGATTACACATTTTTCTGACACACCTGACATCTGTCAGACACTCAAATGCTTATTATGTTCAACAGCAAGCAAGAGGGGTAACCGATGGAAACAGGTAAACGCGGAGGAGAGTAAACCTAACTTACAGCAGGTGTGCTGACAAGAGCCACCTACCTGAGGAAAGTCTGGGGCTCTAGAGAGGTCTAGAGAGTCCAGAAAAGCCAAAAAGCTGGTCTGGTAGACATTCTTTACCTGGAAAAGACAAACAGAACACGTGAGGTCTCGAAAGCTATATTTGTAAGATAAAAAGCAAAAAAAACGAGTGGTACACCCATCACTGAGGGATTTGAATAGTTAATGTAGGCCTGTCATGGTAACAGATTTTGCTCGGCAATTAATTGTCTCAGAAATTATTGCAATAAACGATAATATTGTTTGAAATTTGACAATAATTAGTAATTATCGTCAAATTTAAGAAGAAATATTGGTTAATTTTTGAGTGTAGTACCTTTTTTGACCACTGGATGGCAGTACAAGACTGTTTGAACTGAAGGATGGGTAGTGAGGGAGCCTCTAAGAAAAATGGGAGGGAGGCCCCTTGACATGACATGGATTGTCTCCCTTTCCTTTTTTCAGTTCTCAAAATGGCAGACGCTCTGTGTGTTTTGAGCTTTTTAGCATAGCATTTGTCACAAAACTTTTAATATAAAAAAAAATCAGTAAACAAGTTCTCAGCTTCTTTTTAATAATAATAATAATCATAATAATGTATTTTATTTGTTAGCACCTTTCAAGACACCCAAGGACACTTCACAACATTAAAAAAAACAAACTAAAACAATACAAAATGGCTTTAAAAACACTAAACCAAGAAGAAAATAACAAAAAATTAAAGTGAGAAGGCGAACTTGAACAGGTGAGTTTTGAGTTGTGATTTGAAGGTCTGAAGGGAGTCAATATTACGGATGTCTGGAGGAAAGAGCGTTCCAGAGTTGGGGAGCAGAGTGAGAAAAGGCTCTGTGTCCCGTGGTGCTGAGGCGGACAAGAGGCACGTTGAGGTGGATGGAAGAGGAAGAACGAAGGGAGCGGGAATGGGCGACAATGATCGGAGACAGGGAGGGGCGACGTTATGGATGGCCTTGAATGTGTACAGCAGGATTTTAAATGGAATTCTGAAAGTGACTGGAAGCAGTGAAGTTGCTGTAAAACTGGGGTGATGTGGTGAAATGAAGGGGTTTTGGTAACGACGCAGGCAGCTGAATTTTAAACCATTTGAAGTTTACGGAGTAATTTTTGCGGCAGAACAAATAGGAGAGAGTTGAAGTAATCAATTCGAGAAATGACCAAACTATGGACCAAGATGGAAGCAGAGTGCGGGGAGAGGGATGGACGGAGACGGTTGATGTTTCGAAGGTGGAAGTATGCAGACCAGGTAATATTATTGATGTGAGAGTGAAAAGAGAGAGTGCTGTCAAGAATGACACCCAGACTCTTAATGTGAGGGGAGGGAGAAACCATGGTGCTGTCAACGGTGAGGGAAAAACTGTTGACTTTAGATATGGTGGATTTAGTGCAGATGAGTAGAAAATCTGTTTTATCCGTTTAATTTAAGGAAATTAGATGTAAACCAGGATTTAATTTCAGCTAAGCAGGAAGTGAGGGAGGAAGTGTAGAATTAGGTGCAGTGGATAAGAAGAGCTGGGTGTCGTCGGCAAAACAATGGAAGTGAATGTTAAATTTACGGAAGATATTGACAAGTGGGAGAAGGTAGATGATGAAAAGAAGGGGCCCCAGCACAGAGTTTTTGCAGAGAAAAACTTTTTACACGAAGGCACAGGTTTCAAACGTGAATTTTGGCGCATTGACAAGATGGAGGTTTTGTCCCGGGGTCGGCCTGTTAGCTTAGCTTGTAGCGTAGCTTCTCCGCTTAGCTGCTTGTAACGATCCAAAAACGTGATTTTGGATGATTAAAAATGCATTTTAAAGAAAAACTAGAAAAAAGAGAAAGAGAGGGGTCAGTGAAGAGCACCGGAGTCGAGTCTTTTGCCATCCGGTGTCTTCAGTAGAAAGAGAGAGACACGAAGAAACAATAAAGCCCATACATGAAAATGATGTCAATAATTTTCATTTATCATGCGATTAATTGATTTATTGTTTATTGCGACAGGCCTAAGTTAATGTTTTAAGTTTTTGAATTTAGAGGTTTTCCTGGACATTCAACGAGGAATGCAAGTAAACCTTAATGTTTCTGGAGCAAGATATTCAAGTGGGTAAGAGTTGCACTGTGTAGAAGAACATAAGTAGGTTTTTTTTTTCTTATCCCAGGCGGAGCAAATAGAAGGATCCTGACAAGCAGAGGGAGCATTTTTATACACCAACAGGTACAATGGT